ATAAACTATTTTCTGCAGAAACAATTTGGATTTTTGTATGATAAAGTTGTCTCCAGTATATGTTTTGTTCATTCCTATTCAATATTTTTAAAATGCCCTTAATGTTATGGTGTACTACTCAAGATGTCATTTTCATTCTTTGTTAGAAAAGAAAAAAATGTATAGAGATTTTGCTCTAACACCAAATTTGGTCTTGTATCGTTAAACAAATTTTGGAAATATGTGATCTTTCCACAATAATATTTTTATAATATCCTTGTACATACATGTACAACTTTGATCAAAAACATTGTACTTTAGTTTAGAATAAAAATCCTAGAAAATGAAGAATCTAGAAAATTTCATAACAATATTATGATATGATTTTATAACGTTATGAAATTAGGGAATTAAATCACATTTGCATGATATGATTTTTGATAAAGAAATTTACACTGAATAAACACTAAAAACATTTGTTCAAAATTTACATGCCATGTTATTAATGTATAATTCTATCATAATATATCTAATTAAAAGCATTCATATTAATTTGTATAAGTCATGAATATATATATATATATATATATATATATATATATCTTTTTTTTATCACTAGACAATTTTTAATATAAGTTTGATATTCTCTACATAAAAGACGCCTAGCTGAACTAACTTGAGTTTTTGAATTCTAGTTTTTTAAAGTTCTGTAGTTGTACAAATTCAAGAATTTTAGACAATTATCTGCAAGAATGAACTGATAATAAACTTTATTCCAATAAGTGTGGATAATGAATTGTAGAAAAGATTCTCAAGACACTGAAGACAATGTTTAGTTGGTTTGGTTTTATCTTAAAGTCATATATATATATATATATATATATATATATATTTAATACCTTTGATGGACAAATTTAAAGAACTAAATAATGAAATTACGTGAATTTGAAATTATTTTACTTCATTTTTTTATTCCTATAAGAATTCATCTTTTAAATTTATATTTTTTAAATTAAGATTTATTAGAAATTGAAATAATTGATTATTCAGAGTAACAAACAACTTGCAATTATATATATATATATATATATATATATATATATAAAATGAAACTTTAAAAACATTTCTACACTGTCTTATGAGCAATGTTTTCTAATTTCAAATTTAAAGGTTGAGGTAAAGTTTAATATGTTTCTTATTCTTTTGTCATATTTGTATCATAAATATTGAGAGATTCAACTTATTTTAATTTACAATCAATTAGATCTCATTCATATTGTGGTAGCTATGTGTCTTTTTATTTATGTTATTGTATTTGACAGGTATCAAACAACTATTTCTATGTTCTACAATATTATTATTAATCTGCTGGTATAAATACTTAAATAAATAAATAAATAATATTTTTATGAAACACTTTAATACAGAGAAAAGATAAATGAAACAGATGGGAAGAAGATCAATGCTTTTCAATTATGCGAATCATATGAATAATTTTTGTTTTAAATACTTGGTAAAAGACTTGTAATTAAAGAAATAGACTGTAAAGTAATTTTTTTAGAAATATTTACATATCGTGTTAGTAATTCATTTCAAGGAATTTGATAAGATTTAAATTTCGAAATTTCAATTTAATTTAAAAACTGATATATTACATTTTAAGGAAATAAAAAATTACTCTTTTTAAATATAATTTGTAATTAGTCAATTCTTTATTTGCAATTTGAAATTTCCTTGACAATGAAATATGTGAATTTCAAATATTTTTATCATGTAAATTCTGGCCTTTAATTCAAGAGTGATGTTAGTCTATTTTATTTTGGTTTTCTCCATAAATCTTTCAATATTTATATACACATGCAGAAATGTCTATCAATTGTTGAGATTTATATAACAAAACATATATTCTGTAACAACATCAAGCCAAAACTACATGTTTTCTTATTTTCAAATCACATGGTATGTGAAGGGTTTTAAAAGATTTTTTCTTCAGCTTATTTCAATTCTGTTTGTTTTTTTGTTTCTATTTTTGTTTTTGTTTTTTGTTTTGTTTTGTTTCTTTTAAGAGATATTGGTTACATTTGGGTGATTTAAAAGCAGATCACACCATGTGCAAACCATTTTTATAAAGAATGGTATTTACTCTACAAAAACGTAAAATATTCAATGTTAAATTTAGACATTACTCTAATTTATATGTTAATATTCCAATTTTAGTACTGATAAGTTCTACACGTTTTAGAATAAAATGCTGCATTCACTCCTGTTTGAAATGGATTTAAGAAACAAAGACAAAAAGAAAAGAAGCTGTAAAGAAGGGGGAAAAGAAATAAAGGGAAAAAACTGTTGGATTGCACCACATTAGTCAAGTAAATCATCTCATTAATTTCCAACATATTTGTGATACATTACACATTTTCTTTTAAAAAAATATATTCCCACATATAAATCATATATTTTGAGTAATATATGTACAGTTTCAATGAGCACCCTGCCTACAACAATTGTGTCGGTATCCTGGTTGAAGGCGTAGAAGCCGCGGCGGTGGCGGAGTCGACGACGTCGGTAACGAAAGGAATGCTTGCAATGTCACGAATTAAGGGCTGAAATGGGCGAGCCATGCATTTTTCTGAACAAACTGCTCTCAAGTGGGTTTGAAGCATCTCATCGCAGTTGTGCAGCCTGTCGCACCGCATTGCGATGTGCACTGCCGAATACCGACAGTTTCGACAGCGGGCCGCCGATCGCGGAACCGTGGAAGGGGGATGCTCCGGCACCAGATCGGGTGACGCCGAAGGGATGTGGCACGAATACCCACTACCCTAAGCATGGTGGCATTCGATTCCTGCACAAGAATTGGAGTGAAGGGTGCCGCCCTTCACGGCTGAGTTGGGACCCCTCATGCCAGCCCAGAGCTTTCTTTCTATGCCGGTGCTTTGGTGTTCATGTACCCCGCCTCGGTACCGTTGGGTTTGTGCTGGTCACCCTGGACTATCTCGATCGCACATCTTAGGTGATGCGGATCAATCACCGCCGAGAGGAAGCCGTTCGAATTGCAAGTCAGTGGTGGTGCAGGGCCATGGGCGGGAAGGCGTGATCCGGCCTTGGACTTGCGGGTCGGAGAAGATGCTTGCTTGCGAGGAGGAGGAGACCTGACTACGGAAGAGCGAGAGACTGCATCTGCGTGGCGGAAATTCGAGTATGGATGTTGGGTTTTGTCAAAGTATTGGTCCCGTCGCGGAATGCCGGTACCGGGTGACTCGACTGTGTAGCGAGCGTTTTGGGTAGTTGGCCGTCGGCCGATTTGTGAAGGGTTTGGACGGTGACTTTCGTTCGACTTTGCTTACGCCATTGTCGGAATCGTGTCTTGCTGATGTGGAAGGAAATTCATTGCACCTTGGACTTTACTTTTCTGCCTTTTGTTTCGCGGTATCTAAGACTTGAAAAGTTTCCGTACAGGATTAATGCAACAGAGGCGGAAGAACACTCATGATCATCGTCTTCTTGGTTTTCAAATTAAAACAAGAAAGGAAAAAGAATGAATAAATAAATAAAAAGGAAAAAGAAAATCATGCTGATTAGAAGGTCATTAATTGAATCCGCTTGGGTTAAGGATAGAACGGTACGTTTCCAATGACGGTTGTGTGATGCCATAGTGCGGCCGTGTTGCTCCAAGAGCAGCATTTGGTTTAAGACGATGCAAGGATCCTTCATTAAGCCCCCAAAAGATAATCTCACTCGCCTCATCCACCGGAAAAAAGCGCTTGGATGTGTCTGCGCGCAATGCATTCCAGCGCAACGTGTCTTCCACACGTCCGTGCCCTCCCCACCACTTTCGTGCATGTCGACTTGCAAAATCTTGGGTTCGACAAATGGGCTCAAGCGTGCGGGACCAGGTTTGAGAATTCGAAAATAGTCGGATACGGAGGGTGTGGCGTCGAAGACATTCCAAACAGGGCCATTGAGATTCTCGCAACGCCAGGGGCTCTCAGTGTTCTCCTCCTCCTCGCCAGCAAAGCTCCATGAACAAATAATTCGCACCGTTTCCTCTCCCTTCCCGACATGTAGCTTGGTTGTAGAGGAAGGAGGAGACCCATACTCAGACGTTAGGACAGAGAACCTCGTTCCCAGTTGAGCAAGAACCCCTGTCGTGCTACAGTGGCTCATTACAAAGAAAAGTAACACAAAGCATTTTCTATTTCCCGAAAAAAAACTCATATCATCGAGAATCAGTTGGCATCCGTGTTCATCGCTGTCTATCTTACTCCTCCGCATTCATTAATTTGTTAAATTACATGTTTCTATTTTGTGGCTTGTCAAGAACAACTTCAATTATCAATGACAAGGTGGCTCACATGAATGTGCAAGCAGCAAGCAATTAGTGTTGAATCCACGCTGCGTGTGATTTGAAAGGTGGGAGGCCATCACTCACAGATTCCACGCACATGTCTGAATCATATGCCAAAAATAGACTTTTTATTTATTAATGTGCGTCACGCACATCCATCCCTATGACCATTCATCACCGAGGTGGTGGTGGGGGACTCGGTTAAATTTTTTATTTGGCACTGATAATGGAGGGTGTCAAGCTCCCCTCCTATGCCTCTTTGAAGGGATTAATTCAATTCCGCATGGCAATTCCCATAAGATCCCTCATCCCTTTTTTAATTTATTTATTTTATTTTTAAAGTTCCAAGAGGATGCCCCTATTTTTTATTATCACAATTCCAACTTTGGGTGCATTTTACTCATGATAACAATAAACAAAAAAGGGACCTCCAGACAATACCCAATTGAAACATGATCTTTATTGCAACACACTCCAAGAAAGGTGTGTTCATTTCAAAATATATTTCAAGACAAATCATGAAATCGCAATTTCCAAGTAAAAGTGTCGCCTTTAGGTGCTTCTACTTTGGCTCATTGGTACAGAGAGCAGTCCAGCCAGGTTTTGTTCTCCTTTGCGGGGGCTTGACTATCATCAACGTTCTGGTGCACTAGAGTTTGAGTTGAACGTTTTCCAACACTTCTCCCACATGCCCATTCTCATACCCTCCACCCCCACCCCCACCCCCGTCCAGCTAGCACTCCATCCGTAGCATTTGAAAGTTGGAGGTCGCTCACAATTCCAGAACCATCCAGCGGGAGAGTGAGTGAGTGAGTGAGTGAGTGTGAAGTAGTTTACGAGTTAAAGTGTGGAGGAGCTTAGTGACGCATGGGTTTTGGCTGCGTTGAACTCCAGCAAGAAACGTTTAGGGCTGGGTTTGTGAGGTTTGTGGGCATTTGGGTGGTGAGTGCAGGAGACAGCAGCTGAAGTAGACGTGAGTGAGCGGCAAGGGGCGCAGGGATTGGGAGGTGAGAGAGAGGGTTTGAGGTTGTGGGAGGGGTGATCGGAGGGGCTACACGCCGAAGAATAGGAAAGGGGAGGACCATAAGTAAGTAGCATTAGGGGTGGTGGCACAGGAAGCATCAGCAGCATGTGAGGCAAGAGGAAGTGGGGAGTGGCACTATGGGGGCGTCCGTGGACAGTGCACCTGTGCTCGCTGTGGTTAAAATCCTATGCGCTGTATGTAGTCAGTGAGGGCGAGAGGAAATATAGGGTTTGCGAGGTGTACATTTGGGTGGACGAGTTGGGGTGTAGTGAGCGTGGAGCAGTAGCTGGGAGATTTAGGTGTGGGAGGGGTGGTGGGAGGGGTGATCGGCGGGGGCGATATGCAGAAGAAGAAGAGGGGGATGAGGATATGTAGCAAGCGGGGTTGCACTGGGAGTATCAGCATGTGAAGCAAGAGGAAGTAGGGAGCGGCACTATGGGGGCGTCCGTGGACGGTGCACCTGTGCACGCTGTGGTCAAATCTTGTGCGCTGTTTGGGTCACTCTTCGTGGTTCTTTGTGCACTCTCCGTCGTTATTCTAGTTGCTGTAAATTGGCGCCCCTGGCGGATCTACAGGTACTTATCTCAGCTGCAGCTTGTCTGTATATTGGTTCTTGGTTCTTTGGATAGTTCTTTCACTCTCTGATTCACACTTGGATATTGGGTTGCGGGTGATGCCGATGAACCTAGGAATCAATACCTAGGAGTTCTTATTGCCATCCGCTTTTGCTTGGATTGGGCAGTTCTCAGCGGTTGAGTAGTTGGTCCTATGCAATCTTTCGTCCGATAACCTATGTTTCATGAATAGATTAAGATTTTACTGGCGATTACATTTCAGAGGTATATCTTAACACAGTGTATGGATTTCTCGTTTTGGCACATACTGAAGGATCCAATTGAGCACGGCACTCTTCTCTACTGATCACAGATGGAGTAGAAAGTCGAGTGTAATGTCGAGTAGTGGCTGCAATCCTGTCATCCTTACTCTTAGCTTATATAGGGCACGTAATGCAGAGACGTGCAAGCTCAGCCTATTGACAATAGTGTTACCTGTCATGGAAGACCGTTGCAACTAGCCTTATATTCTTGAAATGAAAGAAAACAATGAATTACTTTGTAAAGTAGTGGTCTTGTTTATTAACATGAGTTTGCAATCGTTTGACATCGTGTATCGATGTCAACGCTTGTAATTTATAAAGTTAGGGATGAAACCCAGCCACTGGTTACATAGGATCCTGTCCTTTCATTAGAGTTATGCCGATTGTCTGCATAACGTCGTAGGTGTTGTCGTGTGAACGACTGTATTTGATGCGCATTGTTTGATGCTTTCGTAGGCAGCAGTCATTTCCCGACTTATGACGATTTATACATCTATTGTTTAAATACGCGACTAGATACCCATTATTTGAGACAAAAGCGGTCAACAAGAGGTCTTAGTCAGCCTACGGCAATTGATGATGGCTTGCGTGCTACAGAATGTGAATGAAACCTCCGTGCTTGTTTTACAGCTAGAAAGTTTCTGAAACATACTTAGCATGCCTCCTCACTGGCCAAGTTATAAAAGTGAGAGTAGTTATCGTTTGTTTTTCCATAGCAGCCATTCCTGCTGTTTCTGATATAATTGTGCCATGAAATAGATATTTTATTGCTTAGTTTAGTGTGTTTGTACGTCGTCTTCGTATTTAATGTGGATTTCCCACAGCTTCTCTCATCTCATGTTGTGGAGTGTGATTGCTCCTTGTTCTCCTTGTTGTAACATCTCTCCCTGATTATTGCTGTCGTTGTTGCAGCTGGATATTTGCCCGCAGATGGAGATCGTTTATGCAAGGCCATCGGCTCAGCATAATTACAGCAGTACTTGCCGCAGCTGCATGGACCATAGTCCTGTCCCCAATCGCGGTTCTTATCTTGTGGGGAGCTAGACTCATAATTTTACTGAATCATGACACAATCGGCCTTGCAGTGATCCTGGCAGGCACAGCTCTACTGTTAGCATTTTATGCTATCATGCTTTGGTGGAGGACGCAATGGCAAAGCTCACGTATGTATTCCATTAGATCTCATTAGGCTACATTTCTGATCGGCTACATTGTAAGTTCATTTCTACATTTGGTAGTACCCTGTTCTGGATTGTTCTGAAGGTTTTATTTATATGTTTTCTTGTCCTGCCCATCCCAGGTGCTGTTGCAATCCTGCTTCTTCTAGCTGTATCGTTATTATGCGCCTACGAGCTTTCAGCAGTCTACGTTACAGCAGGACGAAGTGCTTCAAATCAGTTTTCTCCATCAGCTTTCTTTTTCGGGGTTTCAGCGATCGCAATGGGCATTAACATGCTCTTCATATGTAAAATGGTTTTCAATGGTGAGTAATGGAAACTTGATGCCATTGTCGGCAGAAGTACAATTCTTATAAATGGAAAGTGTCTTTGGTAATGATCGTCTGCACTTCACAGCTCTTGATTTAGATTTTTCCTGTTTCGGGTAAACAAATCTTTTGAGTGTTTACCTAGCTTTCTGTGGCTAACAGTTCGAAAGTTCTGTTTACAGGGGCAGGGCTTGATGTGGATGAGTATGTGAGAAGGTCCTACAAGTTTGCGCATGCAGAAACGTTAGAAGTTGGTCCGATTGCATGCTTGCCAGAGCCTCCTGAGCCTCGCGACGCAAGCATTCAGAGGAAAAGCAGGTGGTTCTTCTCTTGATGTAATTGTATTGTGGTTGTGATATTTATGAACTACTTCTTGATTCCTGTCTTTCATACGGTGAAATTCCATGTAATCCTGCATGTTTATTTCTTCTGTACCCATGTTTTGACAAGACATCAGTTTTGAAGTGCATCCAAGTGGTCTCCAAGTGTTAGATTCTTAGATATACTGCAAATGTTCAAGTTGGTGAATTCTTGGGCTTGTTGTTTTTGAGCGAACCCGTGATAGCGACGTTGCCTAGTGCTTTGCTTTTCCAATTATTAGTGGCTCTTGATTTTCTTAGCTAGCGTGAGTGAAAGCCTTAGCTATAATCAGCAACTTACAGTTACGTCGCGATCTCAGAATTTTAAGTTTTACAGGGGAGGAATCCCGAGGTCGTTTAACACATTCTTGTAGAACCTAGTCTCATCTCTTATTGCTTGCAGTACATGGCGGCTGGCCCAGTTATATCAAGCATCTGTTGTGGTTCTGGCGGCATATTCAGTGCTGTATGGACTGACAGCAAGGGAAGCACGATGGCTTGGAGGAGTTACTTCGGCCGCTGTGATCATTTTGGGTATGTTTTTTCTCAATCAATGACGAATGCGCACCAAAATTCTTTGATGGAGTCTTTGTTCTTTATACTCAGTTGTGTGCTCAGCTACTAGTTGTCTCGTTTACTTTCTTTAGAAGCAGTACTATTTCAGTACTTGCTTAAGTAATTTCTGTTTTGTATGAGGTGGTTTTCTTAACGCTGCGTAGTATTTTTTACAGTTCTTAACCATGTATCATTTACTGTCAATAATTTGTACCTGGTGTTGTGGCCTCGATCATTTATGAGGCAGATCACGTACTCACAACGCATTGGTTTCTCGTTGAATACAGATATGAACATAGGAGCTTGCTTGTTTGGTTTCAAACTCCTCAAGAGCCGCATTGCAGCTCTCCTGGTAGCTGGGTCCTACAGAATGATATTGATCTGCTTTGGTGTACATTTTTGGTAGGTCATGCTTGTTTCGGTTTGTCTTTGTTATCTCCAGATTATTAGGCATGTTTTCAGTTGGAATTTACATAGATGTAGGTGATTAATTTGCTATTAACTCAAAGATATTCTGTGATACTAGAAACACTATACCAGGTCATTTGGGAATCATGGCAGGTCAATTTGAACTTGAGGGCTTATGGAATATTTCAGGATTTTATTGTATTAGTTAAGAACACCTCTTGATCTATGTTACACTAGATTTGGTAGAGCAGTGTCAGATTGACATTAAAATTGGATGTCAACTTCTATGAAGCAGGATAAATCGTGTTGTGTCTGTATCTGCATAAATAATTTTGGGTGTTTGCAGGTATTTGGGCCACTGTGTAGGGTACTCCGTGGTCGCTTCTGTGTTATTGGGAGCTGTGGTAGTTCGTCATGTGTCTGTTGTTAATCCAGAAGCAGCTCGTCGAGCTGCCTTAAAGAACACTGTAATTCGACTGCGGGAGGGTTTCGGCAGGCGAGGTCCAGGAAGCTCGTCGAGTGTGTCGGAAGGCCGAACTTCTAGTGTTGTCCATAGTAGCGTTGGAGCTGAGCAAATTGGAGCTGCGATAGAGCTGATTAGTAGGGCAAATGCAAGGCCTCAAGGTGAAACGTTAGGTGCTGGATTTGTTGGACACAATGGAGGAACTGGGCTTACTGACGCTTTTACAGCAGGTTTCGGCCTTCAAAGTGTGGATTCTCATGTGTCAACTGAAAGAGTTGGTAGCTCTCAGCAGCCCTCTTCACCAGATCATGACACTACAGACTCCAACCGCATCTCTTGCGCGGGATCTGTCGCTGCAATTGAGCCATTGAACGCTGTGGAACGGAGCAGCACATTTGCATCATTGACCGATCAACAGACGCTTGATTTGAACCTAGCTTTGATGTTTCAAGAGAGAATGAATGACCCTAGAATTACCTCAATTCTTCGTCAAAATCCGGAGTTCGCCCGGGGTGGAGAACACGAGCTGATGACATTGCTTCAGGATAAGGGACTTGATCCAAACTTTGCAACCATGTTGAAAGAGAAAGGTTTAGATCCGACAATCTTAGCCTTGCTACAACGGAGCAGCATTGATGCTGGCAGAGATCCAGGGGGAAACGAAAACTCAACTGCAGGCTTGAAACAGTCGCAATCACTCGCTCCAGATGATGCAGTTGGCTGGACAGGGGAATCCCATAAACATGCTTGTGGGAATTGGTTCAAGAGTGTTGAAGATGTTGTACAGTTCTTTGTGGGGACACCAGAGCGAGCATGGGTCTTCTTCAGTGTGATCTTTGTTGTGGAATGTGTTATCGTCGCTGTATTCCGTCCCACAACAGTGACTGTCATCAACGGAAGACACGAGCAGGTTAGCAATCAACAGCTAACTATCTTGTATACGGGTTATCAAGAGAGGGAGGATATATATAATACTGGTAAAGTGCACAAAGCTGGCTTATTCACCGAATCATATAGAGACCTTCAACTATAGATTGTGTCAGCATTTTGAGGTAGCTAGTGAGTTAGAAAATGTGCAGTTTCACATTTCCACACGCTGTCCTACATATGAATCCTTTCGTCTTCTTTTAAATTTGGGGATTCATTGTGATTTTTGTTTGTTTGTTTGTCTTGTTTTGTTTTGTAGAAGTCGATTGTGCGCTCTACGTTTTTTCGCCGCTATCTGTCATTCCAGCTTGCGTTACTTGTTTGTATATTGAGAACCCGGCTTTATTTTGCAGTTTGAATTTGGCTTTTCGGCACTTCTGCTGTCTCCTGTCACATGCTCATTACTAGCTTTCCTACGGTCTCTGCAAGCAGAGAATATGGCCCTTACGAAAAAGGTCCGAAAGGTATGTTTCGATTCCTGGGAAGTGAGGAATCATTGTTACCCACCATTCTAATTCTTGAACTTGCCAGTTTTTTCGGTCTTAAGCATTAGCGCTTCTATTTGTATTTGTATGTATAGATGGCTCTTATTGTGATGGCACGAACACATGATAACCCTTTGAGACTTAATTTTTCTATTCTCTGACACTGATTATTGTAACTTTCAGTTTGGATTGATTGCATGGCTTTTGAGTACTGGAGTGGGACTTCTCTTGGCTTTTCTCAGGTTTGATCCTTGCTTTAAGATATTCAGTCCTGCAGTTAGAATACTATTATGGGTGCTAAAGAGATCTTGTGGGAGTGCATATCGGTTGTGCCTTTGTTATTGTGCGTGCTGGTGTTATTGTTTTATTTTCACTAATTTATCTCTCCGACAATTGTTCTAAGCATATGCTTTGTTTTCTCTGCTCTCTGACATCGAGCAACATCTTTTTTGTGGCTGTTTTTTTTTTTTTATTGATGCAACAGTAAGTCATCGATCATCTTAGGGCTCGCTGTGACTGTCCCGTTAATGTTGGCTGCCCTGTCTGTTGCACTGCCTATTTGGGTGCACAATGGGTATAATTTCTATCAAGCTCCTGTCTTGGAGTATCATGCTACTCGAGCTTGGGAACAACAGGCAAGGCGTGGCAGAACGAAAGAGGTGAACTTCGCTTATTTATTTGTTTTGTTTTTCCTCAACCAATTTCTCGTGCATTTCATTATGTTGCTTAACTGAAAATTTTGCTCAGAAAGGGTTTCCTTAGTGTTTAAATATCTTCAAGTAATGTAATTGAACTGTGTGTCGTAGTGTAGTATCAGCTTTTTCACAGGTAGCAACCAAGTGCATTTGCTATAGTTTGTTGTTGATTGAGACACATATGGTGTGGTGTGACATCGTTGTAACAGATCTGTTATAGATGCGCAGCGTCACATTGTGATGTTTGGTTTCGGTTATTGAAATGCCGTTCTGAAAAGTTGAAATTTCACTCTCTTTTAGTGTTACAAGTTCATTGTTTACTGGCTCATTGGTGCGTTAGGTCTAGCATGATGACGCAAAATTGCTGCTTTATTTCTGCAGGATAATGTAATGACACTTTGCATCTTGGTCACTGTTATCTGCATAATTGCTCTGGGGGTTATCATCTCATTCAGCCCTCTCGATGATATTAAATATCATAGCTGGAGCAGTGTGACAAGATATTCCACCTCTCCTTACACGTCACCTTTATACCTAGGGTGGGCAATTGCCTCAGCATTTGCCCTTGTGATAACTGGAGTATTACCAGCTATCTCTTGGTTTGCGACTTATCGTTTTTCTCTTTCATCAGCTGTGTGTGTTGCCATCTTCACCGGTACTTGTTATACTGTAACCTTAACTTGACTTTGGCACGCTTTGCCTGTTCGGCTTGCTTAGCAACTTAATATTTGTGTTGTTTTGCTGTATCCCTTTAAACACTATAGAAGTATAACTTACGACTCCATTCGCTGGTGTCACACTAGAGGAATGTGCACATTTGAATGGTCTCATTAGAGGTGTATGAAAAGTATAATGACTTATGTAATAATATTTTATTTTCTTATCAAATGGCAACATTTGCAGTGGTATTGATGACATTCTGTGGAGGATCTTACGTGGGCATTGTTCGGAGCCGTATCGGTAAAACACCGACAGAAGCCGATTTTCTAGCTGCGTTGCTGCCGTTGGTCTGCATACCAGCTGTTTTCTCTCTTGGTTGTGGCCTTTACAAGTGGTGAGTAGTTGTGTCATTGATCACGAGCGAAAGCTTTCGACTTTATTGGTTGTTTGAAGATTTGTTTGAAAATAATATCGGAATTTCCGCTGGATACAATGTCGTGACCTAATCTTCTTCTGATAGTTTTTTCACGTCTCTTTTGTAATCATTAGGAGAGACGAAGGTTGGCGGTTCTCGAAGGGTGCGTACGTTTTTGTTGGTCTTGGGCTCACGCTTCTGTTGGGTGCAATCTCAGCGGTCATTGCTACCATTAATCCATGGATGGTAAGGAAAATTGGCTATTGGTCGTGAAAGACTCACACCGTTATTTCCTTCTGGATCTGTCTTTTAAAAAAAAGGTATATATTTATTGATTTATTTTCATCTTGTGCTAATCTAGCTTTTGTGATGACAGGTTGGCGCAGCTTTCCTGTTGGTTTTGGTGCTTGTCGTTTTGACGATAGCTGTTATACATCATTGGGCGTCGCATAACTTTTACTTGACTCGCATGGAGGTTCTTTTTGTCTGTCTGGCGGCGTTGGTACTGGCTCTAGCTGCTTTCCTTATTGGACTCCTAGCGGGTGAGGACCGTCTTTGGTGATGTTTTCAGCTGTTTTGTGTTATGATTGCTAGATATTTGTTTGCAATATTCTAGAATTGCACTATACACTCCAGCAAACATATATTGTGGATCGCTTTGAGCTACACTGGTGTTCTACCTGTAGTTATTTCTGTTACTTTTTTGTTTGTTGCAGATGAACCATTCGTGGGAGCATCAGTGGGATATTTCGCTTTCCTAGGAGTTCTGGCTGGAAGGTCTTTCACGGTAATGTTTGCGTAGAATGCTCCTAACTATCACTTGGTTCTCGTCAGGTTCGAGAACATCAATATGTCGCCATAATTTCTTGTTTGGTTTTTTGGTGGGGTGAGTATATTTTGCCGAATTGACTGACTTGACAAGGTCAGTACAATGATTCTATTTGTCATCTATATTAACATCGGCCCCATGTTTATTCTATGTAACGGACAGGTTCTCTTGTCTCCCGCGGTGGTTGTATACTCTCCTAGAGTTCTCCCCGTCTACGTCTACGATGCCCATGCAGACTCTGCTAAGAATGTCAGGTAAGTTTCGATGATTTATTGTTCTATTCATGTTCCATTGGAGCAACCTCATTTCTGAGATCTTGAAGAGCAATTGTGTACATTTTTAGCTGTACGTAAAGAACTCTGCAGTGCATAAGAGGATCTGTTTTACATATGTTTTTCTGGAAATTTTCTCATGGAAACTTGTATCACACCAGTGGCGCCTTCTTGGTTCTTTATGGGATAGCCCTGGCCACAGCGGGATGGGGAGTGGTTGCGAGTTTGGAGATCTATCCTCCCTTTGCAGGATCAGCGGTTTCAGCCATCACCTTGGTCGTGGCATATGCTTTTGCTATTTCCCGGCCACAGCTTACATTAAAGGTGTACGCATATGACATTATTACTATTGGTTTACCTCACATTCATATTTGATTTGATAATTGCAGCCGTGTTGAGTACAGTGAAATGATTCTTTTACTCAGTTTTCTTGCGCTTTTTTTGTTCTTGTAGATGATGGAAGATGCTCTTCAGTTTTTGCGAAAGGAGACTATTGCTCAAGCTATTGCTCGCTCCTCAACTAAGGTAACTTATGGGTGATGCATTATTTCATAGTATTTCTATCCTGCCATATTTTGGCTTCAGCTATTTCGTTAGATTAGGCGAGTTCAGCAAACGAGCAACTTTGATCACTCATGGCCTTAAACTCACATTGTTGCTGTTTTCCAGACTAGGAATGCCATGTCGGGAACATGTTCAGCTCCTCAACGATCTGCAAGTTCAGCAGCTCTGCTTGTAGGTGATGCTTCTGTTACCCGTGATAAAGCTGGAAATTATGTTCTTCCTCGTGCTGATGTATTGAAGCTGCGGGAATGGCTTCGCAACGAGGAACATGCCGCGGGGCTTCGATGGTGGCCTCCGTTCTCTGCCTTCGGCTCTCCCTTTGACTCTACAACGGATACTAGGTTCAGAAGGAAGTTGTGCGCTCATGCGCGAATATTGGCACTTGAGGAGGCTATAGACACTGAGTGGGTGTACATGTGGGATAAGTTTGGTGGCTATTTGCTTCTGGTTCTTGGTCATGCTACACGAGCCGAAAGAGTACAGGTACGACCAAGTCCTGAAGCACTGATTTCCAGAAATTCTTTGGCATGTATTCCACCTTATAGAGGAGATTTTTTTCTTCTTGATGATTGATGTGCGGATATTTTTTAAGGGTGGGATTCTTTTGAAATTTAGTCTTCTTCAACTTTAGCAAACTGGATCTATTCTCCATTGAGTTCTAGAATAAATTTTGAGTTCTTTTTTTTGTTCTCATATTCCTGAGAATAGTTCGCTGTTTTAGCACGGCTATTCTTTTCTATTTAAACAGTCTTTTTATTTATTTTCCTCCTTACAGGATGAAGTGAGGCTACGGTTATTTCTGGACAGCATTGGCTTCTCGAATCTCAGTGCAAAGAAAATCAAGACATGGACACCTGAAGATAGGAAGCAGTTCGAGACAGTGCAAGAGAAGTAAGCGCGTGCTTTCCTTCTTTCTCTCTCTCTCTCTCTTTTTTTACTTTCTTCTTCTTCTTCTTCTTCTTCTTCTTCATAATCATCATTATCATCATCATCATCATCTTTTCCTCTGCATGATTAATATGATCTTCAGTTTTGGGCATAGATGAAGTATACCCTTTCCAAGTTAGTAGATCATAGAGTTATCATTCGGTGGTATTATTCCGAACTAGAGCACATATAACCGATTCCTCTGAAGTGTTTGATATCGTAAATTTAGTACATTAAGTCGTAATCTTAAGTCCACTATTCCTGATTTATGGTGTCTAAAACTTTTATTTAAAATTAATTATAAGTGTTGGTGGGTTTCTCTGCACTTGCGTCTCCAAGTGTTTGGTCCTAAAGTTCTTTATAAATGACGTGTCTTGCATCGGAACAAGAATCTAGTGTACAGTCATCGATGTTGGACAACATTTCATATAGTACACAATGTTTTGATGCCGAATTTAGTTGCATACTGTGTTGCATTCCTACTGTACTAAGTAGATGATGGTGGGTGCAATAGTCTCGTTTCAAGGTGCTTCAAAAGTGGAATTTCTGAATATCTGATTCAAGAATGTGGCACATGACTACGTATGTTATTCAGTTATATGCGGGAGAAGGAAACAGAAGAGGAGCTTTTGCAGCAAAGGCGTGAGGAGGAAGGAAAAGGTCGTGAGAGGCGCAGGGCTTTGCTCGAAAAGGAAGAACGACGACGTCACGAAATTGAGGCGTCAGTTATTTCAACTGTTCCTGATGCAGGTACCAAAGAAGCAGCAGCGATGGCAGCTGCTGTTCGTGCAGTTGGAAGAGATATTTTACTCGATGAGAACTCTGCCAGTGATCAGGTGTCGAGTTTGGCCCGGCGAATATTAGTTGCTCAAAGAGCCCAACGTGCGCAGCAGGTCTGAGAACGAAGGGCTTATTTTCCGTGCGATGCAGGACTGCTTTTTAAAATTGTTTAAATTTATGAATAGTTCTGCGTTAAAGCTGGAAATTGTTTTACAAACCTTTTTAATATATTGATTGGCACATTTCAGACCGGAGTCCATGGAACTGTTTGTGTGATGGACAATGAGCCTCGTAATAGTGGTCGCTGCTGTGGACTTATTGACCCAAGTGTTTGCGGGAGCCAGAAAGTGAGCTTTTCTGCAGCAGTGATGATTCAACCAGATTCTGGACCAGTCTGCATATTGGGCGTTGAAGCTCACAATAAAAAATGTTTGGAATTTCTAGTCGCGGGTGCTGAGCAGGGTTTAGAAGCAGGGCAAGTTGGACTGCGGCTTGTATCGAAAGGAGCTGGCCAGTCAACACATAATAGAGAGTGGTTTATCGGACACACCTGTGTAGCTGATGGAAGGTGATTTGACTCGAACACATTCTTAGCCGACAGAAATACACATTTTAAAGATGTTGATATTTCTCTATGTTTAAGACAAATGCCTCAACCTCTCCACTTTTGAATGCAGATGGCACTCAGTTACTATAACGGTTGATGCTTCTACTGGCGAGGCTTCTGCTTTCATAGACGGAGGTTTCGATGGAGACAACAGATGTGACTTGTTGCTGCTGGGAGAGGGTGGAGTATGGGAAGAAGGGATGGAAGTATGGGTTGGCATCAGGCCGCCTATGGATCTTGATGCCTTTGGTCGTTCCGATAGTGAAGGAGCGGAATCCAAAATGCATGCCATGGATGTTTTCATGTGGGGTCGCTGTTTAACCGAAGATGAAATTTTAATGGTGCATAATTGTGCTAATCTGGAGGAGCAGAATGAGCTGGATATTATGGATGACTATTGGCAGGGATCTCCAATGGAAACGCCAATGAGAGTAAGTTGGGCATATCACGAAGCACATGGTTTAATTGAGTCAGTAATTAGATGTGGGGAATTGTAAGCTTGGAGTCTGCATGTTCTTTAGATTGCATGTCAAAACAACCCTCATGCTTCTAAGTTACTTATGTTTGATGTATTCATCCGAAGTGGTCTGACCATTTGGTTTTGTTGAAGGTGCTTAAGTTTTTATAACTCATACTGTGATTCTCATGTGTGTGTGTTTTGATGTCCTGCCGGTCGTGTATCTATCTTGTTCTCTAGTTTGAGGATTGGAGATATGATCCGGATCTCAGCTACGAGCGAGATGAAATTTTTTGGGATGAACAACAATCCTCAGGAGCAAAGAGGAAGGCAGCAGACATCGAGAATGTGGCGGTAGATATTGAATATTTATCCAGGAAGATCCGACGCCCCAAAATTGAAACGAAAGAGGAGGTCTTGCAGCGCATGCAGGCTGTTGAATTGGCTATTAAGGAGGCTTTGGTAGCAAGAGGCGAGAAGAGATTTACCGACCAAGAGTTTCCGCCATCAGATCAGTCGCTTTTTGTTGATACTGATCACCCTGCTGCTAAGCTTCAGGTAAGCTAATATCCTTAACTCGTCTTTTAGTGTCCAGGAATATTTAGATGTAATACATACAGGCTATTTTGGTGTGGTGACTGCCAATTAAAAGTGCATTTTTATGTTTGCCAGGTTGTTAACAAGTGGTCGCGCCCAGAAGAGGTTTTGCGCGAACAAGGGCAAGATTCTCGGCCGTGCCTGTTTGCAGGCACTGCCAACCCTTCAGACGTCTGCCAGGTTCGAAGTGAACTTTATTTGTCTCCTTCAAGTTTTACTCAACCCGTTCATTGATTCATTCATGAACACCATTTGAGCGCTTTCGTGTTAAGCTGCATGTAGATAGAATACTTAAACGAGCACCATTTTCTGAGTCCTTCACCAGGGCTACATACGCGGTCATTGAAGCAACTTGGAAACATTTTCGGTCATATCAAGCTAACAGCTTTTTAATAGTAATAGTAGTAACACTTTCGCCAAATTCTTAGGGGCATAGCACGTTATAGGGTAAGAATTATGTCTAATCGCAGACACAGAGAATCTTTACCCACATCTCATGGAAACAAAGCATATTAAAAATTGCAGTAAAGGAAGGTTGAGCACCTTCGAATCAGCTCCTGTTTATCTTCGTTTACGTATCAGTTTGTAGTCCATTAGTTTTCCTTTTTACGAACATGCCCTTCTAGAAAGAAGTAAAAAGTTGAACTTAACGGTTCTAATTAAGCTCTAATAGTATATATCGGATTTATATATGGAAGCCCATGTCAGTTTCTGGGAAGCTCAATGTCTAACATTGTTCTGTAACCTATACTTGTTATGCAGGGCCACCTAGGAGATTGCTGGTTTTTGAGTGCAGTTGCTGTGTTAACCGAGGCATCACGGATATCTGATGTCATGATTACCCCCGAATTCAACGAAGAGGGGATCTATACAGTTAGGTTTTGTATTCAGGTATGAGGATGAAGATCATAATGATGTTTCCGTACTTGTTGTATTTTCATATTTGATATGGTTACTTTTGAGTACTCTTTCATTCTACTCTTTTCAGTTTCCTCCAAATATGTTTTCAACCATTGTATTTAATGCATGCAGGGTGAGTGGGTGCCTGTGGTCGTTGACGACTGGATACCTTGCGAGGCCAGGGGAAAACCGGCCTTCGCCACTAGCAGAAAAGGAAATGAACTTTGGGTGTCTATTTTGGAGAAAGCGTATGCGAAGTTACACGGGTCTTACGAGGCCTTGGAAGGTGGTCAGGTCCACGATGCGCTTGTCGACCTGACGGGAGGTGCTGGAGAGGAGATTGATCTAACAAATGAAGTTGCGCAGTTGGATCTTGCTAGTGGCCATCTATGGTCCCAGTTGCAACGCTTTAAGCAAGAAGGATTTCTTCTCGGAGCAGGCAGCCCATCGGGTTCTGATGTTCATGTTTCATCTAGTGGAATTGTACAAAATCATGCATATTCTCTTTTACAGGTGAGCACGATCTGTCCTTTCCAATTCCAAACTACTACCTTGGTTATTTTTGTCAGGTTTTATTCACTTCAAATTTTTGTAAATACAGTTATTATTACAGCATGCTTCAACATTTCATATTACGATTGAAGTACGGCAATGTTTCTAAACGATCGATCATATAAATGTATCAATGTATCAGGTACGAGAGGTCGACGGTCACAAGCTCGTGCAGATCCGCAACCCATGGGCTAATGAAGTTGAATGGAATGGCCCGTGGTCGGATTTTTCCCCAGAGTGGACAGATAGAATGAAACACAAGCTCAAGTATTCCCCTCAGGTATTTGGAATTTAGTTCTGTGTTTTACAGTTCTGATCCCTTTCCATTGGTAGGATATGGCTCTTTCGTTGTGCAACTGATGGATAGTGTCCCACTTTGTAGCCTTTCTTTTGCTGCAAAGGGGTCTCAGCGTGTGCCACTCGCGTGTTGCCTTAAGCACCTTTCATATTTTCCATCGAAGGATCTCAAGTATCTCAATGTGTTTCTAGGCTGCAAATGGAGTATTCTGGATGTCATGGCAAGATTTCCAGCTTCATTTTCGTTCTCTATACGTGTGTCGAATTTATCCACCTGAGATGAAGTATTCAGTTCGGGGTCAGTGGCGTGGACCAACTGCTGGTGGATGCCAGGATTACGAAACTTGGCATTTAAATCCTCAATTTCATTTGAAAGCCGTGGGTAGTGATGCCCGAGAACCCATTCATGTCTTCGCAACACTTACTCAGGTTTGCAATGTTCACTTCTTCAATAGTGGGTGGCCTCAACAAGTAGATGAGATGCATTTGTTAATTGATTAGTTTTATTTATTTATTTATTTATTTTTATCATACCCTGGAGTTTAGTTGTGTGCCTCTCATGAAGATATGATTTGCTGAACAGGGTGTGCAGTCCACATCTCGATCTACAGCCAGCTTTGGGAATTACCAATTAGTTGGAGATGCACCTCGATTTTATATCGGCATGCGTGTCATAAAAACCGGTGGTAGGCGATCTGGAAAGAATATCTTTATGCATGAAGCAGTGAATGGAACAGATTATGTGAATGCAAGAGAAATATCTTGCGAAATGGTACTTGATCCTGATCCTAAAGGTTACACGATTGTTCCAACCACACATGCGCCGGGTGAAGAATGCCAGTTCTTGCTCTCAGTTTTCACGAAGGCTTCTATCATCTTGGAACCGCTTTAGATGATGGAGGGATTCTATTTAATACGGGCTCAGCAGCAGACTCCTGACGGTCCTGTCATTTCTCAAATCAGGTATTGTCAAGATGTTCACGTTTGTAGAAGCAATCATCTGCTGCACGTGGCCTTAAGTAGTTTCATTCCGTTACAAGACGCAGTGCTTTTATGTACCAAATTACAAATATTTTTCTGTACAATTGTACAGTAGTTAACTTCAGCATTTTGTAATACGAAACGTGAAGGAGGCCTGACAAAGTTTGTGGCTACTGGTTAAGTGACCGCATTCCTTGCAATGACTACAGATTAGCTTGCAATGGACCCTTTTTGTGGTACCCAGTTCGATTTCTGCGACATGCTTCTTCCTTACGCGCCTCCTGACATGTATACATAGTCGAGGCTGAAGGTATACAGACGACCACCTCAGGATCCCTAGCCATGGAATTCTTTTCACTTAGTGGTGTTTTCAATTGTATGTTCAGTATGTTCCTCCAAGTGAAATCATATCCCTTTTTGCTGTGCAGTTTTCATTGCAGCTCAATCATTTCATGGTCACCTTTTTAACAAATTGCTGGGTGACTATTTTAAAATTATGATTCTCTGCACATGTACCTGAAATGTTCTATATTTTATAATTCAGGCCGTAGCTTCTAGCAGCATGCTGGAGTCTTTCCGCTGCAATTCCTGGAAAGGAGTACAACTTGTACTTCTTGCGTGAAGAAATGAAGTGCAACTTGTACTCCTTGTATGATGGCTTGGATCAGAACTTTCGGTTCCCAAAATAAAGAGTCTTATAATGCGCTAGCTTTCCATTATTGCTCCTATCAATGTTGTGACTTATCAGAAGAAATTATGAGTGTTTATTTTGCGCAAAATGCGTCAACAAGGCTTGCATATGTGAACGCATATTGAACATAAATTTTCCATTTTTGATGTAAAGAATGTTTGTATTAGAAAAACCATAAAAAAATAACGCATCACTGCTTTCTACTATTTATTCTTCCCGTCTCTTTCAGTTTAAAAGGTCTAAAGCACTATCTTTTATAAAGTCCCGAACAAATGAAGAATGAAAAGCCCAGCTTATGTATCGTTATGTGCAAACTAAACGATCTGAAGCTCAAATTGTTTGATAGCACTGAGTGGTAGTCGTCTTTAATGGATTACAATTATTTTAAACTAGGTTATTTTCAACGCAAAAACATACACCTACCATTTTTGAGTACGATATGATCTTGTGTATAGCTTAAAACCAAATAAAAATCCTACAAATACATGTGTAAAACAAATTGATTGAAGCAATGAAAAAAAAAATATATATATATATATATATAAATTTAAATCTATTTGAATTGTCTAAAAAATAACTATGTTGCTTCTCAACAAATTCTATTATCTTATGTTTAAAATAATAAGTTATAAACAATCCTACTAAAGATTTGTTGGTCAAATTTGTGCCAAAAATATGTCCATATTGCTCATAGATGATTTAATTCATTTTAGTATTACTATGATATATTTTTTTAAGAAGTATGATAGTTCTAAATAAAATTAGTACAAATTTTGATTAAATATATAGTTTTGATTGAACTACTGCACAAAAAATTTAGAAAGTAATAATAATTATAATAATAAACAACAATAACAACAACATTTAGTTATTTTATTCTATTTTATATTATAACTATGTTAAAGTTGTTTTTATTCTTAAACAATAAAACTCTGAATATTATATAGAAAAAACCATAAGAGATAATTAAAGACTAAAATTAATATACAATAATAATATCTACTATTTGAATGTCTTAAATCCTAATTTTTTGCAATTAACAATCTATTTTATTTATTCACAATTAAGATATGAAAATTTCTAATAAAGAGTATGAAGAGGAGCATGGCTTTTTAGAAAGAAAAATATTCAAAGATTGCTAGAAACCTCATGTGGATTAAAAAAACAACCAAAGAAAATAAAAAAGAATCAAATTAATTTTTTAACAAAATAATAAGTCTTGTTTTTTTAAAAATGTTTTTGAAAGTTGTTGATTAAAAACTTTCTGTTCATTGATTTTTAAAAAGTGACAAAGTGTCCAAAGAATATGTCACTAAATGTCTAATACAATTGTACAAAGTTAATTCAAATGTACTTGTAGAAAATATTATTTTGACCCATTCTTTCTCAAAAGCCATGCTCTCCAACAAATTATTAACATAGAAGCTGAATGTTAAATATTTCTACTTTGGTAAGTTGTGGTTATGATTTATATACTATCTATTTATTTATTGAAAATATAGCACAACTCGTTTATCAACCATTTATAACTACATCTTGAGAGATTCCAAGGGTGGCAAGATTAGTGCCTTCAATCACAATGTAAACAATCAGGGTACTTATAAACAATATTGTGTTTTAATAATCAGTCACGAGCATACAAGACTTTCGTGCCAAAAAGTCTGCGCGATGCCCTTCACCAGCTTTCAGCCAACATATATTTGCGGGCATTGATGCAGTTTGTGGGCACCGCTCGCTTGAATCAAGTCGGGGAGGCTCTGGAAGCGTGCAAGGATACTGCGATTTGGAACCTGATATCGTGCACTGAAGGAATTGTCTGGGGGAAGGAGTGCCCAAGTCAAATTGTGGGCCATTCCTGCCAACAGATTGACCATGCGTTGGTCGGCACTAGCTCGCCGCTGCAGTGCTTGAATCTGCTCTTCCTCCACGAGGGTCTCCCGCTCAGAATCGTCCTAGAATGCAATTTGTGAGGGCGAGTTGGACTTGTGTCGGCGAAGAAGAGAGACGCTTTTGGTCTCCACTGGTGTGTAGATTAAGACCGACTTCATAGTAACGCTACTGTGAGTGGCGTCTGCATCTGCGCAACACACCTATAAGGACAGGGAATTGTTTCCATTCTCTGGCGTCTCCGAAATCGAGGACGGAGTTGCAATCGTGATGGCGAAGACAACCAGGCCCAACATAACGGAAGCATCGGAGGAGAGAGTCTTGTGCTGTGAATGGGTAGAATCTTGTGCACATGCAGAGTGGGATTTCAAAGTGGGTCTTTTGTCTTGAAAGACAATAAAAGTTTTGGTAGAAGGTGAAAGCCGCGTTGAAATGTTCCCCTTTATTCATTTCAGATCATATCTTTTTTGTTATGGTCATTCATGAAACAATATCATATTTATATTAGATTTATTGGTGAAGAATTAAAAAAAAAGGATATTTGTGGAGTGAGGAAGGATACCCTTTTGCATACCTTGTACCAATGAATGAATGAATAAACAAAGGGCACAAATAAATAAATAAATAATTGTGTTTTTCTTTTATCATGTAAAGTATTGAATTCTATTCAGTCACAAAATCTTCGAAGCAAGGGATTGATTACAATTCGAATGTTGTTGAAGCTGTTAACACTGTGAGTTTTACTTGTTTCTTACATAAAGTGAAAAAAGACCTAATGCCTACACTTTTTCATACCAACAATTACTATTTACAAAATTTGATTAAATTATCTCAGAATAGTAATTTTTTCAAAGAATTTTATACGTGTTTTTAATTTTTTTTTGAGTGATTAGAAAGCTTAGCTAAAAACCATAACAACTTGGCAGAGACTTTGATACCAATTTTGAATGCAAAAAAAGTTCCAGATTTTAAAAATTCTATTGTGTACAACACTTAAAAAAGCAAAGTCTAATTTATTTATTGAATTAAACTTTTTAATGTTTGGAAATAAATAATAATTTTTAAATTAAAAATATATTAAAATATAATTAATGTCAATATTATTAGAATTTTTGTATTTGAAGAACCTTCTAACTTCAAAAAAATAAATTACACCTCACAATGTTGCTTAGGATAATATATATATGAGAATGGCAAATAAACCCAAGTTTTTACTAAATCAACCCACCCATCTTAACCATCATGAAATGAAATGAGAAAAAATAAAAAAATAAAAAAATAAAATCTAGATTCATTTCTCCACTATTGGATCTGCAACCAATAAAAAACCAACCATATTCATCACGATTAATATATTCTTGATCAAAATAGGTTCTATATATGTATATATTATCATCATTTTTTTTAGCAAAGAAGAATTGAAATTATTTTCATTTATTATTTTAAAAAATATTATTAAATTAAAGTGTCCCATAAATTATAAAATTTAAAAGTTAGTAGATGCAATTGCTTTAAGGATTGACACAACACACAAGACAAATGATGTTTTGATATCGTCATATAAGAATGCATACATACATACATACGTTTATGTAAATTATTTTCCTGTAATTAGTTAGTTAGTGCCCAGCCAGCCAGATCACAACCAAAGGGAAGTTGGGGGCGGAGGGAGCATGTGACTAAACACAAACAATCAAACAAACCATCCATCCATCCATAAAATCATCCATCCCAGCTGGAGGAGGGAATCGGGGCCAGCCATTGGTTGGAAATGCACCCCCATCCCCCGAATAGTCAACTTTGACTTTCGCACTCACACCTTTTCAACGGGGCTCCAGGTTGGCACAGGGGCTAGGCCGGGCACCCTTGGAATCACCAGGTAGCCGGAGATATCGAGAGGGGGGGGTAGCCAGTAAGTGAGAAATGCAGACAGATGGACATGAAGAGAAAGGAGATAGTCAGACAGAGACACACACACACACACAGAGCGAGCAAGCGAGAGACACACAAACTCACACACTCACACACACACACACACATAGGGATCGGGATCGAGGAAGAGGTGTTGTTGTTGGTGTTTTCACGGTGGGGGGAGGGGCAGAGGGAGAGGAAGCGAGAGCTGAGTCAGGGCAGGGCAGGGGGGGGGAGGGCGGGTGGGTCTGTCAAGTTTGACCAGGCGTGTGCCCGTCTGCCAGCTAGATACATACATAGCTAGCTAGCTACATATATACACACACAAACCAAACCTAACAAACAAACGGAGGGAGGGGGCCGAGTTAGTTCCGGGAACACTGTGGCCAGGGAAAGGAAATCCCGGGGGGGGGGGGGGCAAGAGAGAGAGACCCCCCATATGTTGTGAGGGCTGACTGTCTGACCAACTGACGGACTGACTAGAGTGTGCTGGGTGAAAGAGGGGAGGGGGGAGGGCAGAAGAAGTGAAGACGGCGACCACGACGACCACGACCACGACCACGTAGGGTTGCGTTGCGTTGCGTTGAGTTGAGTTGCGTGTATGTGGGGATCCGGTAGGTGGGTGGGGAAGGAGGGTTTGTGGGATTGGTGAGTAGGTTTGCAAAATTGAGGGCGGAGGGTTCCGGAAGTTCAGTGGAGGAGGATATGCGCGTGTTTTAGGTTTGTTCCTGGGTTTGCCACATAGCTTCAGCAGTTTCTTGTGCATCTCGTCAGGAGTCTTAGTAACTATTTTCTAGTGCTGATAACTGGGTCTGATTCGGTGTTTCGAATTTGTGAATGGATATGTCTGTCTTATTTCATTTCATTTCTTTTCCTTAAAAGTATTTTGGTATCCTGATTTGCTGGTGTGTTTCTGTACTCTCTAAGCGGTCGCACTTTGGTTTGTACAAGTCTTCAGATATCTGGAGCATTTTAAGCCTTGCCCAGGGGAATTGTAGGGCATGGTGTGGACAATTAGTTTCGATGTATTCCCTTCTTGTCAAGACATTATACATGGATTACCGCATTGAGCCGGTCTGATTCGGACACTGTTCTGATATGATGCTGAAGAAACCTACATCAAAGGATTAAAGTGTGTTGTTTCTTCCCGTATCAGTTGGCGTGCTAGTATTTTCTGTTCGAAGTCCATGCCGCGACTGGAGGGTACTAATTGAACAGAAGTCATTATGGCTGTGTTTGGCATGAAGCTCGTATGTGCATTTGTCATGTTAGATATCATGACAAAGGTATGTCATGCGGCAAGCCCAACTGGATTTTGCAATTCTACATGTGGTAGAATTACTCTCAAGTATCCATTCCGCTTGATGGATAATGAAAATCCCGCGAAGTGCTATTCGAATTACCCACAACTTAAGTTCCTGTGCCCAGACGAGACCTTGCGCCTTCACTTTACTTCAATGCCTGAGTATTCCGAAAATGAATACTTGGTTTTGGATATAAATTATGAGAACTTGACTCTTTCCATAGTACCTTCGAATGGTGCATGCTACCTATTTAACACAAGCAGTTTTGGAGGTATGAATATCAAAAATACCTCCATGCTGTATCTGAATTGCCGAACCGAAATTGGTGGGTCATGTGAACCAGCAAACAAGACAAGCAGTACCTGTGGAATCAATCCGGCCGGTAACACACAACCAAGTACTTGGTTTTCTTGTCCAGTGAAGCTTCAGCAGGACAGTGATCAGAAATACAAGGAGTGCTTCCTTACCGACCCATTGCAGCTTCAGTTCACAAATGATAATCGTACTAGTACGTTCACTAAATCTGGAGCTTCTTTCTGTTTTTGAATATTATTTCGAATTGCTCTCATTTTCGACTTTCTTTCTTTCTTTCTTTCTTTCTTTCGCTGAGAAGAATTTAGAGAGCATGTGCGCTGACAATTTTAGCGATTTCAAGTTGTTGCAATTGATACCGTTTTGTTGAATCATATTTTGAAGTGCGTGCAAATATGCTTTTGCTTTGACTTCAAACGTCAGAACAAAATAATGACTGAAGTATTTGAGAAGACTGGCTTGTTACTGTGCTTTTAATGTCCTGCTCTCGCTAGATGGAATTTGTGTCCTCATGACAATCGTAACTAGGAATAAAAGAAAATTATATCTACTTTTTCTTAAGGCCATTATCCATGATGCTGCACTGTAGGTTGAGGGAATAGCGGTTCATTGCTTCTTGGTCTTTAATATATGAGTAGCATAGGCTCTTGATTAATGATTTTTACTGCAGTGGATATTATTCTGGTTCAATCACAATCATCTCCTTGTGATTGACCAGTTCAGCGTTACTTTTAGTAGGGGTGTTGAAGCCTATCCGGCCGAGATTGGTAACATGGAGCAGCATGCATGCTTCTGTTTTGTTTGTGAATATGTCTGCGTACATTCTACTTATTGTACTTAAGTGTGCGCAAGTCCATTGGTGTAATAGAGACCTCTGCTGGCGGCTGACCGTGATTCTTGGTTTCATCAATAACCGACTCAAGGACCCTGTCTTATTGTTGCTCTGCAGGTATTCCAGTCCCCTCACCAAGTCCGTCACCCTCGAATACACCTCCTGCTGCAAATTCAAACAAATCGAATCTGAACGTGTTTATCATTCTAGGTGAGTGTTCGACGAAAACGCTCACACTTAGGATCACGCCAAATGTGGATAGTCTTGGCGGGTCTGGGTGGCAAGTTCAGATTGGCTTGTCACGGAAGTTGTCCTGAAGCACGATTTTGACGGTCAAGATTATTAACGTCGTTTTTATGGAATCTTAGATGACCTGAGGTCTGGTTGCCTGACGGTTGAATTGATCGCGGCTCAAAGAAAGTTTAAGCATTATTTTTTATATTAACTGCTCTTTAGGTTTAGAACTACCATGTTTTTTTTGTTTGTTTGTTTAATTCTAATCATTTATTAAGATGTTAATTTTGGGTGAGAGATTGGCAGGTGTTGTGGGTGGTTTTTTGGCAGCAGTTCTGATCTTCCTATGCGCCCTGCTGTATTGTTGCCGACGGTCACGGCCCGGCCCGAGTGATTTGGTGAAGTTTGATAGCGGTGACAAGAAAGCTTTTGAAAAGATTCGCTCAGGTGGTTCAGGTCATATCCCACAACTTTTCACCTACAAAGAGCTTGATCATGCCACGCAAAATTTCAGTGCGAATCATCAGCTAGGGGAAGGAGGTTTTGGAACGGTGTATAAAGGGAAACTTTCGGATGGACGACTGGTTGCTGTGAAGAAGCTCAATCAAGGTGGAAGTCAAGGCATACAACAATTTCACAATGAAGTTGAGGTTCTCTCCAAAGTGCGTCATCCGCACTTGGTCCAGTTACTTGGTTGGTGCAGGGAGCGACCCCTTCTTGTCTATGAGTATCTACCAAACGGGTCAATCTCGTATCATCTCCACGGAGGAAATAACGGACACCTCCCTTGGGAGACGAGGTTAGGCATTGCAATACAGACAGCAGAAGCACTTTCTTATCTTCACTTTGTGGTGAGCCCACCAATTTTTCATAGAGATGTGAAGACAACTAATATCCTCCTTGATGAGGGCTTCAAAGTTAAAGTTGCTGATTTTGGTCTTTCGAGGTTGGTGGTGAACCTGGAAAATACCCACATCTCAACGGCACCGCAAGGGACCCCTGGTTACCTTGACCCAGATTATCATGAATCTTATCATCTCTCTGATAAGAGTGATGTTTACAGTTTTGGGGTGGTGTTGATGGAGCTTGTGACCGCTAAGAAAGCAGTGGATATGGCACGGGAGCGGAAGGAAATCAATTTAGCTTCACTGGCTGTGGCTAAAATCCACTCTGGATGTTTACATGAGATCCTCGATCCAAATTTGACTGTTCAGTTCCATGACAATCCTATGATGCAAGTTATGGTGGAGCAAGTTGCAGAGCTGGCATTCCGTTGTCTAGCCTCTGAAAAAGACGACCGACCTTCGATGAAAGAAGTGCTAGCAGAGTTATTGCGAATACATATTGTTGGTATTGATTTCCATCCTTCAGTAAAGAAGTTGGAGATGGACCCGTCCTATCATAATGAAGACTCTGCAAAGCCTCTTGTAAAGAAAGACGGTGGGTGGCGAGCATCTCCTACGTCTGTGCAAGATGTGTGGGTGAGCAACACAACCTCACCTGCCGACAGTCTGGCAGAAATTGCTTAGGTAGAAACTAGCTGGAGTGAAGTATGTAAATAGATTGTCATAAGATGCTATATGAACTGGTATAGAAATTTGTAACTGCTTTGGCTTCCTGCATATATTCCTTATTCAAATTGGTGAGCATTTTGTATTTGTGAAGAGAATATTGTTGTGTATTCTAAATCTTTGTAACAATCGACAAAAAAATTAAACTTACGGGAAAGCTGCATGATGCACAGTCATGTCCATTGGCATATTTGCAACTTAACAACTGTTGTACCTTCTCCACAGTGCAGTACCACATTTCCGAGGCGCAATTATTAGGTGGAGTACGTTCATATAATTCGGAGCGTTCACATTCTGTATCAATTACTTTCTAGAGCGTTCATGAAAAATCCGATTTAGGAGAAAAAGAAAATAGATAATATGATGAAAACCGCGTTTGCACATAGAGTGTATATTTGCATGCAGACGTATTCGGTATTTAGAGGTAATTGTTATATCATAATGCATTTTCGAGCAGCTGGTGTTAAGAGAATGTTGTAATGAAAATAAGCCGGCTGCCGATTGCTACACAGGTATATATTCGTATAAAGTATTATCCCATGTATTGGTCATATGATCATGGAAGAGAAAATTTGAGTGTCATAAATTCCGTTCAAGATATTTGTGATGAATTTTCACAAGCACAGGGTGCATAAAGGTTTTCATGTATTTGTACAGTGGATCTCACTAATCACTATCCAGGTGGTTTGAGATATTGTTCGAATACGATCTAATTGTGACAAGCAACTAGTACATACAAGTAAATCATCTAACAATACGAAACACGGGCATTGAATGTCAGAGCTTACGCAAAGTTAAAAGCCAAGAACGAACCGTTGACAAGGATGACACGATAGAGAGCGACTGGTCCAGTCCGAATCTCACCGTGCACCACAACTCAGAAACTCTGATGGAAGCAAATGTTCTAAAATCTGGAAAACATTCAAGTTAGGACAAAAATGACTAAGAGAAGAGAGAAACTTGTGATTTGAAGCTTTGAGCGAAAATAAGTAACACTTGAGCCTCCGGAAAAGAATCGGCCCACAGAATGAAAGCCATTTCAGGCTGTCTTCTCAAACCAGTTATTAAGTAGCCGGCTCCCAACCCGCGGGTGCCGCAGCTACATCGGCAGGTGCCGCAGGATCCCAACCCGCCGGGGCAACTGGGGCAGCACCAGCACCAGCGCCAGCTCCCATGTCCCAACCAGCCGGGGCACCTCCAGGCGCCGCAGCACCTGCATCCGCTTCCCATTGCCCAGCCTCCGCGGCATCTGGGCCCCACTGTGCATCACCTCCAATTCCAATCGCTGGCGCAGCGTACTCTACCGCCGCGAACTCCACTGCTGCTCCCTCCTCGTCCTCGCGGTCCTTGCCTTCGTCGGGCTCCCTGTAAAAGAACAGGTCCACCTGCACCATCCGTCCACAAGCGGACGGTCAGCCTCCGCAACCCCGCCCCATCCCCCAGGCATCACATTCAAGCACCACAGCTTCCCCCACACCCACATTCAACTTCAAACCGCACTCCCTGTCGCACTTACTCCCGCACTTACCATCACGTCCCATGGGTGCGCGGCGCTGATTGTGCCTCGCATCTGCAGAACCATGCGCGCCAGAAGCCAGAAAAGGGCACCGATGCTGTGCTTGCCCTTGTTGTTCGCGGGAATTGCAATGTCCACATACTTCATTGGAGAGTCCGTGTCACAGAACGCGATCACGGGAATGTTCCCCAACGCTGCCTCCATGATAGGCTGCGCTTCCGTTCAAACGCCCACAGTTTAGATCACTCGCATACCATCCAATCAATACCCCTACCCGACGTGCTCTGTTCTGCAATATCCTATCCTTCCACACTAACTTTACCCTAAAACATGGACTGCACTCACCTGGTGGTCAGTCCGAGGGTCCGTCAAGATCAGCAACCGGGGCTCGCTGAACGTGTTCTGCAACTGATTCGTGAAAGTACCGGGCGTGTGCCTTCCCGCGATAGCCTGGCATCCCGTATACTGCGCAAATTTCAGCACTGCGCGCTGCCCGTACGGCCTCGCGGACTGCACAATGATGTCCTGAGGGTTCTCGATGGCAGCAATCACCCTCGCCGCCAGCTCCAGCTTCTCGTAAGTCTTTCCCACATTAATGATGAAAATACCTGCGCAACGGACCCGCCAAGCCACAATAGTCAACCACCCCAAACCACGACCCGTCCAAAACATATACACACGTCCAAAAAAAAACTTGTATCTTCACCCCGAACCCTTATCATTCATAACACAGAAACTTCTCACCCCAAGCCCACACCGATAACACACCGGGACGAGGACAAACAATGGAGGGGACAGAGTTCTCACCATCGGAGCGCCGCTTCCACACGTAGCGCTCCATCTGGAAGTCGCAGTTCTTGGTGCCGAGGTGCACATCAGCAGCCAGCATCATCTGCACATCGCTCTCCTTCATGGTTGCGTCCTGTTGATCGTCCAAGCCGCGACGAATTTGCAGCACTGCACTCACTGTCTCGAGATGCAGCAGCTGCGAAAAGGAAATAGCGACCCCGCCCCTCTCTTGCTCTACACTCCCACACCGACGAAGCCCTAATTCTTCCCACTGCACTGTCGCGGATGCTTTCTGTTCCGTAGATGATACCCAACCCCGATTTCATCCACATCCTGGCAGTCCAATCAACGAAAAGTAGTAACCAAACTTTACGATCGTAACAGGTAAAATGTAAAATGGTGTGAAGTTATTTCATTGCAGATCAATTTTCAAAGTGTTGAATCTGAAGAAAGAAAGAAGTAAAGTTCGAAAAACCAAAGAAAATATTAAGATATTGTGTAACTGAGAGAAGTGGTAGATAAGTTTTCAAATAAGTTTCTAAGAAAAAGATCAATAGCTACCTCAACCTTCACTTGAAATTATAAATACATTGTCAAAAACATCCAAAAAAAAGATGCCACAATAAATTGGTTATTGTGGTACATAACATGTTAATTCTGAAGTAATTAATTTTAATTTTATTTTTTATTTATGAAAATTTTATTTGGATAGATATTTTCTAAAAATATTTTTTGATTATAAATTACAACCAAAACTAAAATAATATCTGTATATAGGATTGTGATTAAGGTTTGTAAAATGTGTGTGTTTTGATACATAGTCTTCTTTTATTACTTAAAATTATTTCTGTTATTTCATGCTTCTTGGTTTATCAAATTTCTACATCTTTTTTATTTCATAATTTCACACCAACATCTCCAAATCATATGTTTAAAAAAAATATGGATATGATAATTTGTAACATTATTTATTTTGTATGAACATATTGTGTGTCCTGTGCTTATTCTAAGATTAGGTATATCAACTTGATATTCAGCTCTTAATTCAAATGATACAGTCATAAAAAGAAAAAATCATTAAAATTAAATTATGTCTTTTTTCTTTCTTTCTTTTTTATTTATAAATTCGTCTAATTTTAAAATGTATAAAATCACATAAATATTTTGATAAAGTCTTTGAGTAGTGCATTGTCAAACAGATTCTAAATAGAACAATATTTTTCATAGACAAAATATTAGTAATCATGATGTATCAATAATATTCAAGAAACATCTCAAAAGATTAAATAAAAAAAAAAAAAATTGATTTTAAACATGAAACAGTGATTTGTGTTAATAGTTGATGATACTATGGAGGTTTTAATATTTGGAGCATAAGCTAAGAGATCTTAAATTTTAAATCATTCAATTGGCAATATGTACTTATATTAAAAATCTATAATCTACAATGTACTATATATATATATATATATATATATATGTATAACTATTTAGACCTGCAGTAAAATAATAATTTAGTCTAAATTTTAGTAATTTTATAATTTATTCTATCTCCAAAATCCACAACTTTCAAAATAAAATTTTTATTTACTAAATGAAAACATGTTTTGATATTAAAAAAAAAAAAAAAAAAAAAAAAAATCATGAAAGAAATTATTTCTTGCAAGTTTAAAGGTATAGTTTTTCTTATATAAAATAAGTCACTACATTGTAGTAATTTGTAATTGTTATAACGGATCCAGAAAAATTATCATTTATTTGTTGGTTAATATGTTTAATGATGTTTTATATATTTTCTGATTTTTCTAGTTTTATGGATTTTATCACAAGTCATTTAATTTTAAATTCCTATGACTCTATATTTGTGATAGAAGATTATTTTATTAAGATGACATTTTTTATACCATATACAAAATATATCACAGAAAAAAAAAATAAAACATATTTTTTTTGGCAACATTTATTGCTATCATGGATTTTCAAATAATATTATATCAAATAGATCCACTAAATTTGTATCAAAATTTTAGAGAACCTTTTTAAAGATATTGAAGGTGGATATAAAACTATCTATGGCTTTTCATCCTCAAATTGATGGACAAACAAAACAAATAAGTCAAATTTTGGAAGAGTATTTGTGGCATACATTCAACTACCATTAAGATAATTGATCAATTTATTTGTTATTATAAGAGTTTTTTTTATAATAACATAGTACATTTTTCTAATCAATATTTTTTTTAATTAATTATAGTTATCATCCACAACTTGATACTTTTGATTTCTCAAAAGTTGATAATCATGCAACCAAAGATTTATTAAATTATTTGTTGGAATTACATGTAAAAATGAAGGCACAATTAAAAGGAGCTCAAAAATGATAAAAGATCAATACAAATGCTTATTGCAAGCAACAACTTTAATTCCACGTGAGTTTTAAAATATAATTATTTTATTGAAATATCAAGACTATTTGCCTTTGTGACAAATTAGATTATTGTAGACTTTAAATTTTTTATATAGAAATAGATAATAATCAAGGATATGAGATCAAAGAAATTTTAGACTTAAGGAGGCACCAAAATAAGTTAGAATATCTTATGTATTGGTACAAATATGATATTAGTGAACGTTCATAGAAGCCAGCCAAGAATCTTGCAAATATAGCATAGAAAATTGATGCTTTTTATTGACAATATTTATCAAAATAAAGATAATGATTAGAAAATTTTCACTATAAAAAAAAAATTCTAAAGAAGATTACATTTTACCCTCTTTTTTTGATTATGGTTTTTGTATAATTGTAATATTAAATAGATAGAAATCTAACAACTAGAAAATTCAACTTAAGAACTATTGTTTGCTGAATTATTAGTGTTATGTTGTAACATGATTACTTGGTGAAAGATATAAATATGGATTGTATTATAGAAGATCTTAGTTAAAAGATAAAATAAAAAAATATGAATAAAAGATAAAAAAGAAGTAAAAATATTTAATATTAATGCTATCTTTTTTTTAAAAAATAAGCTCCTATTTATTTTTTACAACCATAAATAAAATTAAATAGAATAAATTAATAAAATAATTAATAAAGATAATTTAAAAAGAAAAAAAAGAAGATTTTTTAATAAAAATTATCTTAACAAATCAAGAATTGATGCTAAAAAAGGATTGTTTGTGAATCATGATTGAAATCAAATACTAAGGTATAAAAAAATGTGCTCCAATAGTGATTATAAGGTCTTTTGGCAAATTAAAGAGCAAGATTTGAGAATAGTTATTTAGAAGATTTTTTTGATCTAATTTATGTGATTTGGATATATATTAAATTTTTGAAAATGTTCTCAAAGTAAGAGATGTATTTAGACGTTTTGGATTTTGAGAAATAAAATAAGTCTTATGTATTTGAAGAATTTGTAGGTATTCTAGAAAATTTGCATTTGAAATTTTATGATTTTTTTATTATTTTTGTTTAATTATGTTTAAAAGAAATTAAATCAATTAAATGGTTAAATTAAAGAATATAGAAGTTTTATTAAATTGTGATCTTAGAAATTTAAATTTTAACATCAATGAAGGTTTTTATGATTCTAAAAAACCTCCCAATTTGATCTTAGCAAAAGTTTGTGACAGCATATTAGGCTTTAGTATCTACACATTTGTAAAATTAAAAAGTACTTGAATAATTTAACAATGAGGAATTGTTGCTAAAAGCTTAGCATTTAGGTTGGAAAAGTAAGACGGCTAACTTTTGAGAGATTTATGAGCTCTTTCTTTTTATTAGTAAGTTCAATTTTTTAAAGTTTTTTTATATTATTATTTTCTTAAGAATTTAAATATAGATGAAATTTTAGTTGAAATAAATAGTTTGATTAATAGCTATTAGAATTTTAAAACATCTACAAGAATTGAATTGGATGGTTTGTTTATCTTAATATAAGACACAATAGATAGCTAAAAGAAATTATCAACTATCTTTTAAAAGAATAAAGATTAGAATATAAGGCAAATACAATTTATTATATTTTTGACTTCTTTAATATGTGACTATCACTTCTTATAGAACTTGTTCTTAAAAAGAGGAGATAATATCATAGACATATTTAATTACTTATATAAGAAGTATTAGGTAGAAGATAAATGTAAGAAAATTTAATAATATCTTGTGATGGAACTTCTTAGAAGCTTTGTAAATGTGGATTTGACTATATATGTATTAATAATTGATTAATAGGTTGAAAACTTGACCATCAAGTTAGCCACATGTCATACATATTGGTGGCTTGTGGTATAAATTGACCATGTATCATACGTATAAAAAACTTATCTTGTAAGTTAAACACATATTTTGCAAGTTGGACAAGTGTTAAAGGTTTTGTAAAATATTGCCATATAATTTTTAATTAGAGAATATATATGGAGGCAAGAGTAAAGCCTTCTTCACACTTGTCAATACCTTTCTTATTTTTATTCTTGTTTCAAGAGCTTCTAGTCTTCTTGTCTTTGCCAATAGCCATTTTAGTTCTAATACATTGCTTACTTTGAATAAATATCTGTTCTTTTTAAGTATCACAAAAGCGTATTAAGGTTTGTATTATTTAAGATTCATGTCATTGATAGTACTACTAGATATATGGATCCAAAAGTGATTTATTGCCATAAGCTAGAAAGTGGATTTAATATGCTAGTAAGTATAAAATAAAAATAAAAAATTAATGTATACACTTTTGATATAGTGTGATTTGAAATATTAATTATAAATTTATTTTTTATCTTAAATTCAAATAAAGTAAAGATAAAGATAAAAGAGGTGATTTTCTATCTCTAATTAATTATTTTCCACTAATTTTGAATTTTTTGATAGAAAATTATTAGAAATTTAATTTCGAAGATTGTCCCCCTTTTGATAAAATTTTTAAGGTAATGAGGTGTGCAAAATATTTATTCATGGCATTATATTCAAGCTTGATATCATTATCAAATGAATTAATTAATTTCACATCTTTGAACACCTTAAAAATAAATAAGTGCTTAAACTTGACATTATTGCCAAATGGATCAAGCAACTTCAAAATTTTAACTATATTTCATATAAGTGAGTGTGTAAGCTTGACTTTATCGGTAAATAAATAAAATAATTTCACATCTTTGACTATCTTAAGTAGATGCTTAAGCTTAACATTATTACTCAATGAATTAAGTAATCTCATATCCTTGACTATCTTAAATGTAAATAGGTGTTGGAGATTGAGATTATTGCCAAATAGATTGGGCAAACTTATAACTTTAATTACCTTTGACATAATTAAGTATTCAAGCTTGACATTACTGTCAAAAAACTTAGGCAACTTCACAACTTTTACCACCTAAAATATAAGTGAGTGCATAAGCTTGACATCATTATCAAAAGAATTGAACAACATCCAATACCTTCTCATATTTAGGGCATTGGATGTTGATAATATTGCTAAATGAACTAAGCAATCTCACATCTTTAACTAAATTTGATATAACTAAGTGCTTAAGCTTGACATCATTGTCAAATGAATTTGACAACCTCACATCTTTAACTAATTGAAATATAAGTGAGTGCTTGAGTTTGACATTATTGACAAATGAATTGAGAAACTTTTTTTATTTTTTTTATTTATTGTTATTGATAAAAGAAGAAGCAAAAGCTTGATGTGATTCTTTATATATATATATATATATATATATATATATATATATAATAATTTTATAACTAATAGATACTATATTTATAAATTAATAAAAATATAAAATAAGTTTAAATAAGATATTTTTAGACTAAATAGTATTAAAATTAGAAATTCTAAAAAAAATAGGTTTAGATTCTTGTTCAACAAAAGATCAACTATGCTTTACCACAATTCTATATCTGTTTGTATCCACAAAGTCCAAACCATCCAAGTATAATATGTTGTAATAATGATATATTTATTATACAAGTGTCTTATTTCTAATATTAATGGATTATTTCATTTATCAAGAATAAAAATTTGCTTCACACTCATGCACTTGATGTATGTACCTAAAAAAATTGATTTTGTATTTGAACACCATAATCAATCAAAGATTAGACATAATATTCTATTCTTGCAAAATTAAAAATACTAGAGACAACTTCAATTAAACAAAGATGTTGAATTCTAAGCAATGCAGTTTCATCCTTGATTTGTATTGTTTTTTTTTCATATGTACTGTTTCTTGTCAAAGTTACTCCTAGTTGCTTTTTAACATATAAGTTAAAAAAGAAAGAAGGAATTATCAATGTAGGCATGAATTTAACAACTATTTTAGAAAGATTTGGAATTTGCATAATTATCTTCATGTTTTTTGTAGCTCTAGACTTAATTATTTATTTATTTATTTATTTATTTATTTATTTATAAACATCTTAATACATATCTAATAGTTGCATTATTTTTTTATTTAAAATAATTAGAATTTATATTTTTTTATATTTTTATTTAATGAATCAAAATTAATAATAAGACCTAAATATTATAGATTTCTAAACATCATATGAGAGCTTATAAAATTTAAAAAGAAATGAACCTATTATAAACTTCCTTTTAAATATTCTAAATTCATATCAGAAATTTTTAAAAGCTTTCTAAAAATATCTCATTTGTTGCACCTTAATATTGTTTCTTAATTGAAAAAGAGCCAAGATTTACCAATGTAAACTAAGGGCATGTAAGAACAAACTTCTACCACAAATTTGAATAAAAGTTAAGAATTTAAAAATAAAATAAATTATAACATAGTTTTGAGTTTAGGTTTAATTTGATTTTTAAAAAATATTCATCATTAGGCACTTCATCTAAAAATAAAAAATAGGCACATCATTTAAAGGAGTAAACTCTTAATTAACAATTTTATAAATTCATAATTAAGACATGAGAATTAAATAATATAAAACTAATAAATTAACTTATAATAATATTTTTATTTAACTTAATAATATTGATGGTATGAACATATTTTATGTATAAATATATAAAATCTTACATAAATTCTTGAATCCATTTATTTATTTACTTATTACTTGGTGAACAATATTTTTAGAATGTTTAATGTGTTTTTAAGATAAGTTTTAATGAGAATATCAATATATATTTTTTAGATCATACCTCCAATTTGGTATGATTTCTCATGTATATTTATTGATTATACAACCATATTTAAAATTTCTAAAAATAATTTTAAATAAAAATTTGTAGTATATTTTATCTTGTTATAGTTCTTATTTATATGATTATATATCTAATTTTATTTTTTAAAAGACATACTTATATTGAGCTTGGTAATTTAAATAATAAATCATAATCTTTACTTTAAGATAGTAATAAAATTTAATATTTGATAGACTATATATATATATATATATATATATATTTTGCATGTTGTAACAAAGAAACCATACTATATTTAAAAATTACAAGATTTATTTTATTCTCTCAATAAATTTAGATAACGGATATTATTAATGCTTCTGCAATTTTTGCCTCTATCACCACAACCCACCATCCACCCATTTAACATGGTTTTTTAATTTTCTTATTTCAGTATTTCTTTGGTAATATTTCTATATATATATATATATATATATATGTATAATGAAAATTTAAAATAATAAATATTTTATTAAAATAATTTCAAAAAATAAAAATAAAAATCAACAATCATTTTTTATTTGGCATTGACAAAAAGGTCTGAATGGTGGTTTGTGATTGCAATAGCAAAAACCATACCAAAATGTGGTACATAGTAAATTGTACTAGCATTGGAAATACTCTAGATGTTTTTTATTTTTTATTTTTTCATTAAATTCTACTTATCAATTTTATATGTTTATTGTAGTTTAAATGATATATTATTAAATTTTATAATTTTAAATAATAATAAATATTCAATATGAAATGGTAAATATAGCTAGAAGAGAATAATATTTTTTTAATAGATGGGTAGATTATATTATTTTAAGTAAATTTAGTTATAGATAAAAGAAAGGTCTAATAGTCCTCCTCCTTTTGATAATACAGCTTAACTTTTGTTTACCCCTAAAAAGGTTTTTTTTTTTTTTTTTTTTTTTTTTTTTTTCGTTTCTTTTCGTCATAAAATTTACAAATAAAAATCAAAGTTATTAAATTTTCAAAATTTGAAAAATATATTCTAAAATAAAAAAATATTATATATATTTACTAATGTATAGAATTATAAATAAATTTATAAAAAATATACATTCACCTTTTATATATATATATATATTTAGTACAAAAAAGAATTTAAAAATTAATTCAATAAAATATTAAAAATAAATTATCAAAAGAGATTTAAAATAAATGGTCTATGATGAAGTGTGTTAAGTTGAAGAATTTTGGATTTACATGTTGCAAAATAAACTTGGTATGTAAATAATGATTCCATTGACATGTTTTTTTTATAAAAAGAGAAAAATGCTCAGATTTCAAAAAGATTTTTACTACAATTAATTACATATGTCTTTCTCTTTTTTAGACTAATTTTTTTTATCATATAATGCAATTAAAAAACATTATTCTTTTTATGTTTTTAAGTAGTACAAAAGTTAAAGTAAAGTATGAATATATATATATTTTAAAATAAAAATTTGACATAATACATAAGTTTATATGTATATATATAGTAATTATGTATGCAACATAATTTATATTTTTCTCTTATATTGTAAAAGAAAAATCATAAACTTTATTATAAGATTTTTATCAGATGATAAAAAAAATTAAAGAAAATTCTATGTTATATATAAAATAAGATCTTTTATTTAACAATGTTCTTTAAACTAACTTAGTTTTATGCTCTTAGAAAATAATGTATGGTGGTATTTTCAAATTCAGCAAAGATTCTTAATATTTACAAGAATACATGATAATTTCCCTTTTGATATTTTTCAAAATCTTAATGATCCACATGTATTTAAAAGAAATCATCTCTTTTTTTATAAATATGATTGGTGCTCCCATATGAACTGTATTTTACAAACCTTAATCTAATTTGTGATCAAAATTCTAAATTTTGAAAAAAAAAAAAAAAAAAAAACCCATACACTCACCTGAAGCTAAGAAGGCATTTTTGAAAATCAGAAAGCAGTCATATTGTTTTACAAAACTTTCACCACATAGGATTATCAGAAATTAGTCATGGATTAATTTTTATTTAACCAAAATTTAATTAATTAATTAGTTGATTTTCTTATTTAAAGGTGAACACAACCTGCATCTATCTTATTCTAAAGCTTTGATGCTTTTCAACATTTATAATTTAGTAAATCCTTTATGCAATAACATTACATATCTTCATTCTTTATACCTTTCATACATTAATATATTGATTTCAGGATTAGAGACTCCACACCATTCCCCAGTGATGAGATCCATCAATTCAGGATTGGCACATACAAGGAGTGAGTGGATTCTCCCAAATGTCATACATGGGACTCGTTGCCTCGGGCAACCCGGTTCTCGTCTTGTGCATCTCGGCAACCTCATGGACAAAACTTGTCCAACTCATGAAAGGATCTCCAAGTGCATATGCCATCACCCCCTTGTAGGGCTTGATGGATTTCCGTCGGTGGCCGTAGTAGTACCTACGAGCACCGATGACAAGCTTTGCGAAGTTGCCACCATGAGTCACCACAAACACATCCGACTTCAAGCACACCAAGAAATCCAATGCTGCTAAAGATGTGATGTGCCTCTGAAAGGGAGCAAGCTCCTCCTTGCTGGCTAAATCCTCTTTTCGGACCTGCACAAATATCAAACTTATCACTGTAAAATGCAATGAAGGAAACAATAATTCATCAGTTTTCATATACACAAAAATTATAACAATATCGACATTCAAATATATATATATATATATATATATATTCATACATACCAAGTTGGGAAACATTCTCTGGAGTGGAAGCATCTGGGTATTTCCTCCATAGAGTGCACCAGATGCAACATAAACTTGGGAATCCTTTTTGTAGCCAATTGCATTGAGAATCAGAGCAACCTCACCAGGTTCTAGTGGGCATTTTCCTTGCTTCCGCTTGCAGAGGGCCTCATTCCACATCATGGTGTCATTCTGTATGAAAAGCCAATAATAATGTGAAAAAACCTTGGTTACTAATTTGGGTATTTAAGAAGTGTTAGATCAGCTATTGAAACTCTTCATGAAGATAAATGCTTGTTGGGGCTTTCCATTCAAAGTAAAAATTAGGGGGCAATTGGAAAGTAGATTTTCTGACCTTGAATTGTCTTGGCCATTCCTTCTTTCTGTATTCCCTTAGTGCAGCCTTTTCTGTGCGAGTTCCAACAAAGTCACAAAAGGATAATCCCACCATTCCTTTCTCAAACCGCAAATGTAATGCCCTGGATACAAGATCATAATTTCTCTTATAACATCAGAAATGAAATCCAACAGTTGGAGTTATGAACAATTAAAACAAAACAAACAAACAAATCTATTATAAATATATGTCCTTGCTCTCATACCAGGATGCTCAATTGTTTCCTTGTGAACTGAGGGAAGTTTAGCAATGAGTAGAGGCAAATTTAACACAAATTAAAATGCAGTGTATGTATCAAGTTTTGTTTAACATAGTGAGTCAGGTTCAAATTTTAAAATTATATTTTCCAAAAAACATGAACCAGAGACAAGGTCTGACAGGGACCCATGGCTACATAAAAATGCCATCATTATTTTTTTTAAAACAACTCTCAATTTTGGGGCTCTTTTGGAATTATATCATAATCAATTCTTATTGATTTTAAGCATCAAATTATCTCATGTCACTTGATTGAAGTTTTTTATTTTTATTTTTATTATTTTTGTTGGTGTTAATATGATTTTATAAGAGGTTTAGAGTCACAACAAATACATCTATACACATATCATTTGATGCCTTAGTACCAGCTCTTGCTTGTACTACATACAGTGTTTTCTTTATAGCATGAGATGGTGAAAGAAAATTAGAACTGCTAATCAACAAGGATGCAACAAGGATTAATAATATGTTTTCAAGACAACTACAAGCTTACATGAAAGGAGTTTGTTTGCCTGTCCGATTGTGCATCCGTGCCACAAGGACATCAGCCATTTTTTCAGTCTCAGGTAGAAACTTTAGGGCATGATAGTTCACACGGCATCGTAACTTGTTTATCTCAACTGGCACATTTTCATACCTGCAATTGAAAAATGGGAAATGAACCTCAATGCATCACTGCTCTACATTTTGGGCAGGATGGTCAAGACACATGTACTATGGGAACTTCCACACTTTGTTTTAAAGTCCAAGATGCAATATCTGTTTAGACATAAGCTGTAGGAATTAACATTGAATTTACCCAAGTCTATTGGCAAAGGGCTTGAGAGCCATGAGTTTCTTTTCCTTGATCTGTGGAAGAACATTTTGTAGGTAGAATTGGGCACTTGCGTACTTGGGGATGTTCTTGATGGTGAATCTGCTCCCTCATAGACAATAAATCAAAATAAAATTTCCACTGAAAGATTCAAGTACCTTCTTAATTCACTTGACATGGTTATCAAGAACTAGAAGGTGGAGCTGGGCTGCTTGAGCTATTTTGCCCTACACATGACTTTAAGAAACTGGTTTGTATCCATCACAAATGTGCAACAGCCTTCCACTTCTTTGCTGGAGTTGGGATTATTCAAGAGATGCAGGTGCTAAAACCACAATGTTTAGTGGACAGACCTAATTGAGGAGTAAAATTCCTTGTGATGAGGGATCCAATTTGGAGGCTCCCTGATTATGTGGACATCATCTTTGAGGTAGTGAATGAAGTGCTCAACATCAAACACATCTGCAAATTGTCTGCAAGGTAACTTTCTTATAACTTCCCACACTCAACAACCTTGTTGCATACAATAGAATTCTGCACAATGTCATGCATTTCCTGAGAGGGTGTTATTCATTTATAGCTAAGTAGTGAGTACTCACATTTGTGTGTAGGTTCTAGACAAATTCAAAACCATTAATGATATTTCTGAACAGAATCTTGGAAGTAAGGAATGAGGTCAGTTTGTAACACACATTTGGTCTTTCCAAATTGAATCCAGCTTGAAGATAGGAAGGATCAGAGTGCAGTTCATGATTCGTGCCACTGCAACAGCATTGATTATCTGCACAAAACAAAACCCTTTTGAACCATTTCCTTCTCAAAGGTAGTGACTAGTGTGTACTGGGTTCAACTTTACACAAAGTGTAGAGATCAATAATGTATAAAAGTATATCCATTCTGTTGGGGTAAAGATTAACTTCTAGTCAAAATGTCTACATGTAATAAGTACAGGTCAAACCTTTTAAATTAAACTTTATGCACAGAAAACATATTTTATTACACCAAAAACAAGGTTTGATACAAACCCAATGCTATGATAACTAAACAATTTGCCTATTTTCTGTGCCAACTGTGAAGGTTGAAACTATCCTTATGACCATGCCATAGTCAGATCTTCTTTGCCTCACAAGTCATTTTGGCCCTAAATTTAAATCTTCAATGTAAAGCAATAAAATAAAGCAATCTACTTCAATTTTTGAAAGGCTAAAATGTGAAATTTTAGTAAAATTTTCATTCTTGAGCTTAATCTTATTAGGAGAAAATTTTGGGACTTGTCTAAAACAACATCTCAATCAAATGATCCAACCGGTCCAAATTTTAAATAAAGAAATTTCTTATCTTTTACTTCAAGTAAGATTCAAAGTTGCATGGAATTCAAGTCATATAGTTTTGAAGACTTCTTTTGGTTTCAGGACATGATTTGAATTTTAAAAGTGTAATCAACCTGAAAATTGTTAAGTTGTAATTTTATAAGCTGTAAAATAATTCTTTTCAAAGGATTGAATTGTCAAGAATTGGTTCAAACTAAACCATACAAACATTAAAAATGAAGTATTCATCATAATATATTATTTTTAGATTTTAAAATATGTTGTGCTAAATAATAACTTAAATTAAAGTACATATGTTCTCAAATTAAGTATTCAAATAAACATGAATGTGAATAGAGTATTTGATCAGATATCTTTTGTGTATGTGTATGTATATATATGTATAATGAAACTTTCATACCTGGCATATTATTCAATTACCCACTTGTATAATTTTAAAAATGTTACAAATTTTACATTTTTAGCCAACCACATAAAAAACCTAAAATTGAAACCACCAACATTTTGATTCTTGTAGATAACTTTTAAGAAAATTACATGTGTGGAGGTTTATACATTTGCAACATTCTTCTAATGCATGATTATGAATCCAACTTGCACATTGTGATCAACAAAACACAGCTTTGGTCCAATCCTTTACAAACTTATGGTCAAACCATCTCCCATAATTCCATATCTAGAAATAGTGTAGACATGACTTACAGCTATCCTCTGCTGATTCAGTCCACCTTCAGCAATGATGCCAACATAACCATTGCCCCCATGGTAACCTGGTGGAGCTGCAGAACAGGGGACAAAATATAATACCCTAATGGATCCAAAGTGCTATGTGCCTTCTGTCATTCCCATTGTGCACAAAATAACAAAATTTACCTGACCTTCAATTTCTTAGAGGATTTATAAGAACAGTGCAAGGATTAAGAAGTTGCTTCTACTCTTAGAATAATACTCTGGTCACCTTTGATGATAAAAAGGTAAGTAAATTACAACATTTGCAAAGTACAGTAAGTAAAGATGATGTTAACAGCTTGTTCTCTAAGAAAAGAATATTACATTTAAATGTCATGGTATTTTGTTAGAAATTATCATCATAGTATATTGATAAATGCCAATTTCTTATATTGTATTTTATGTATGCAACAATAGCATGTACGATTTTTACATAGAACCAACCAGTTAAAAATTCACTTAGCAGAAGCTACTGATTGTCATGCAAACAAGAGTTTCTACCAACAAATCCTTGCAGGATTTTTCATTGATAAATTGGCAGGGAGTTTGAGAAAATACGGTCATAGTCACGTGGCCTTCTCTCTGCGCAAGCTCTCCAATCTTTGGTGGCAACCACAGGATTCTCCCAAAGAGATTCATCCTCTTTCAGCTGCAAGTGTACAGAAACCGTGAACCAAACCACGAATCAATACAGAAAACGGAAAGCGTGCATGAATATACGTGGACAAAAGAATGTGCTTTTTAACGAGCAGTTTAAGGTCCTGACTTCTCACATGAGGACATCGCGTCCTGAATTCATCCCTCACGCAAAGAAACGGAGTCGATGTCTTGAACACAAGCTCCAAGATACAGTTAGGCAGCTTTCATATGACACTAAGTCACGCAACCAAACGTGAAACATGTACAATCTGCTTCATCATAATTTAAGACAGAAGACGTACAAAGAAATTTCGAAGTTGTGAAGTAGAGGCGATCGTTAAAATCAGAAGAACTGTAATTCCAATTGCTAAAGCCGGGACGAACCACCGGCGAAGGGGTGGTCTTCTCTCCCATCCTCTTGTAGACATGATCACCGCTTTCTAACAATTAGAAGCACTGCTTCTTACCTCTCAGCTTTCAAAGCCTCGATGCCATTCCAAACAAAAGGCCGTTTGCAAAACTAATGCATAGAAGTGATTCTCAGCAAATAAGCAGTGTTCTCGGAATGTAAACACTGCTGAAAGATTGTCACTCAATCTCAGATGATCTATCCACAAATACTGAATAAATAATTCTTTGTTACGCTGGACTAAGATCAGCACAATAACATCCATGGCCGCTGCAACAATAAACGTATAGAAAGATTAATTGCATGCAATCGGTGGCATACTACCTCAGGTTTGCTCAGGTGTGTATCACGGGCTCCGAAGTTGACAAGATATGATGGGATCAGTTTAGGGACCGAGACGCACGCCGTGGCCACTCTGGTGCAAGATACCGCATGAAGTCAGGGAGCATCTCGCGGCGTCCCTGTGAAAGAATATGGATAATGTCATACATAATGTCCACTCAAAGAAGAGAATGCATAACAAAGTTCCACTCCTCCATGCCGAACAATCTGCGACAGCGAATTGTTTTTGAAGGACCTATTTATGAAGGCTTTTTTCTTTTGAAGGAACGATTTATGAAGGCCTCTCATCGAGATTCAATGATCAGTAATGAGTGTTTTTTCCGCCAGTCACACTCAATCGCCAGCAGCTTGAAGTCTAATTACCAGTGTTCAACAAACTCCCAGAAGCTTCTTTCCCTGGCCGAGTACCTTACTCCAACACCGCGGTTTCTCTTTCAAAAACCACCAAAACTTCTCAATTCGAGAAAATAGCCTCAGTCGATCTCGAAATCAGCCGCCCTACGCATCATTTCTTGAATGACCCCCCTCCCCCCCTCTGATAAGTCTCCAAGAAGTTTCCAAAACGGAGAGCGATCATTGAATGCCAGTTCCACTCACGTTTCGTCCTCAGAGGTCTACGACATGTATCACGTCGGATATCTCATTCTGTTTGTTTTATAGCATGCAACTTAAGAACGACCGACAGAAAATCAAGCATCACTCCAATGTAGACGTAACAAGGTGCAGTCCACTACAACCGGAGGTGGACGTCTTAATCAGCTGCTTGTTTGCAATGTGTGCGAGAGACAAAGAGCATTCGAGAGAGGATGTGCACTACGCAAAACAAGCACAGATCTACCATGATTTACATATTAAAAGCACAATTGAGTTGGATGCAGAGGACATATAAGACCAGATTCGGATTTTAAGGCACTGCAAACCTCCATAGTCGTGGTCGTCCTTCCTCTGCCTTCTTTGAGAAGATTAGGCACCCATGCCTCACACCGCAGCCCCGTCAAGCTTCATGCACAGCGGCAGAGTTCAAGGCAGCAGCAGCAGCAGCAGAGCAGACTCGGGCAGCAGGAGGGCGATGGCGGGAACGGGCGCACAGCGCGGGTGCTTGGTATCGGGTCCCGCGTGGGTTTTGAATTTCGTAATACGGTTCTTCTATTGCAAGAAAATTCACATTACTTTAAAGAGTTGTTCAATAAATATGTAATTAATAAGTATATTGCTAAGATAGAAGCTTAACGATACAAATACAAAATGGGCTCACTACCTAGGCAAAGAGGATTTAAGAAAACTAACCACTTAAAGTGAGCCTTGGCTTTGGTCTCTTATAGCACAAGTCCATAGTATAATGACAAAGACTTTTTAGTCCAAATACACTTGTAATAGCTTACTACCACAATCTATTTGACTTAGAAATAATTGTCTTGTTAAGTCATTTATGACTATGTGGTAGTACCGCCAAACTATAGCAAGTTGTCAATTGTCATTGGTGGTAATCTATTGTCATACTAGTTATACATATAATGTCTAATAGGAATTATACATATATCTAAACATTCTTTATACTTCTACTTAATGATATATTAGACTAATCGTCTCCTTGAATTTACAATATTTCTCATGAGTTTAACCTTTGGTCAAAAGATCTGCAAACATGTCTTAAGTCTTGCAAAAAACTAAGTCAATCTAACACTTCTTAATCTTTTCACAATTAAAGTGATGTTGGTTAAAAGCATGCTTAGTTCAAGCATAGAATGTATAGTTTTTTGAAAAAAAATTCCAACTTAAATTATCACTAAAAAAATTCATATGACCATCTTATAAAAATTTAATATCTTTAACTAATTTACAAAATTAAATTTCTTATTTTGTCAAATGAGCAATTGGTATAAACATATAGATTTATTTAGATTAAAAGAGTTAGTTAGAATAAGTAGAAGTAAGTAAATAATATCTTATAAAAAAACTTTATAGATGTAGCTTGGACTTTTTATATGTTTAGAGGTGATTAGTAGGTTGAAACTTTGGCCAACACATTAGCTATATTATTGTGTTATAACAAAATTATATGGTAAAAGATAAAAATATGGATTCTATTACAAAGGTGCCTAATTAAAAATATAGTAGCAAAACATAGATAAAAGATAAAAAAGTAGTAAAAACTTTTAGTGTTAATGTTGCATTTTTATAAAAAAGACTTCTACTACCTTAGGAAAAAATAAAGTGGATTAAAAAATAATGATAATATAATTATCTTTAGGAAAGATTTAAGAATATTTTTTAGCAAAAATTACCATAAGAAACCAAGAATTGATATCCAAGAAGATTAGTAGTGAACTTGGGTTGAAATTAGATATTAAGATATAAAACTACGCATCTATGGCAGCTTTGGTGTTTTTTTGCTAATCAAAGCATGAGGTTAGAGAGGAGCCTTCAAGACAATTGTTTAATCATTGGTTTCAAGTGATTTAGAAGAAAATTGAGTTTTTGAGAGATTATCAAAGTAAAAGATGTTTTTAGTGATTTTGGATTTTAAAAAATAAAAAGAGGCTTACATATTTGAAGAATCTATAAATATTACAGTGAAAAAATGTTTATAACTTTTTGGATTTGTAAATATGTTTTTCCTAAATGATTTTTAAAAATTTTAAGTCAATTTAACAATTAGATTAAAGAATATAGAAATTTGATTGGATCAAGGAATTCAAATATTAAATTTTAGAATTAGTAAAATATTCCATTATCTTAAAAATTTTGATGTTTTGATTGAAAAAATGATTTGTAAGAGCATAGTGGGCTTGGATTTCTACACTTTTGATAATTTGGAGAGCAATTAAATGGTTTAATAAAAAATAATTATTCCCAAAAGATCAATATTCACATTGAAGAAAAAAATGACCAATATTCAAGCATTAGGATTTTATTTTTTTTTTTTTCAATTAGTAAGTTTATTTTTTTTCAAATTTTGTGTGCTTATTTTTTTATATTGAAAATTTAAATGTAGAAAAAAATTAGTTAAATTCAACAATATGATTAATACTTATTGGAATTTTAAAACTATCTTAGAGATTTGATTAAAATTTATTTGTATAGTACTTAGAATTTGTTTAGGATTTCATTAGGATTTTTTTAGGATTTTTTTAGAACTATATTAGAATTTGGTTTGAATTATCTTAAGATTTAATTAAGATTTTTTTAATGTTTTTTTAGAATTTTAATTTTAATTTTTTATTAATTTTTTTAAAATTTCTATAGAAATACTTTTAAAGATTTTTTTTATTTAATATCTTTTTAAGGTTTTTTTAGGATTTCTAAGGTTTAATTGGAGTTTTTTTAAGATTTCTAAGATTTAATTGGGATTTTATTTAAGATTGCTAAAGTTTGATTGTAATTTATTTAAGATTCTATTAGAATTATTAAGACCTTTGTTGTTGCAACTTCCAATTTACCTTTTACAACCAAGTTCTCAATATATTCTCAAACAAGACAATACATTATACAAAAATGTGTTGCGCATGTCGGTAAGTTGTGGTAAAAATTGGCTATGTGACATACATGTAAAAAAAAATTTGTTGCAAGTAATACATATTTAGAGGTTCTATAAAACGTCCCCACATAGCTCCTAGTTATACATGGAGGCAAGAGTGAAGCCTCTTTCATTCTTGACAATACCCTTCTTTTTCTTAGTCTTGTTTCAAGAGTTTCTTATCTTCTTGTCTTTGAACCTAGCCATTCAAGTCTTAATATTATACCATCTTTGAATAATTACATATAATTTTCTTGTAATACAAGAGTGTATTGAAATTTTTATTATTTTTTATTTATGTCCTTAAAAATTTGACAAAAGTTCTAATTACTATTTTTTTTTTATTTTAGAAGTGAGTGGAATACATCACTTCTTTTGTTGTGCTTTAAAACTTGAGGACTATCTATTATTAATTTATTTTTTTAACATCAATTTTTTCTTCAAAAAGAGTAATATTCCAATCTTTTTATTTGACATTAGAAGTTGCAAATTACCTTATTTTTAATTTGATCCCTACATTTATTAAAGTGATTTATTATAAAAATATAAAAAAAAATTATGGATATTACACTTGGTGGAAGTGAAAACAGATTTGCAATTTATGTAGATCTTTAAAAGCATGTCAATATTCTTAGAGTGGAAATTTCACCTATTACAAACATCAATCATGGAGGTATTATTTTCACACTAATGAAAAAATTCAATAATGACATATAATATCTATGCCAAGAAGTTGTCCAATTGAAATTAAATAAACATAAAAAATAATACTTGAATTTTTCATACTACAAATACCATGGTTTCTTTTTAAATTGATGTAAGACAATTGCATAATCTTCTATGTTTTATATAAAAATTTGCTTAAGTTTTTAACATAAATTATTTTTAAAAATAAATTAAATATTTTTATTTTTAAAATTTTTAAGTTTTTTCTTAAAAATAAAAAGTTTAGGTTCAACATTGCAATAAAAAATAATAATAGAATAAATCTTAATAAAACTAAATAAAAGGCAATTCAAAAAGAATTTTCAATAAACAAATATAAAATAAATAAGTTGCTAATAATTAACTTTAGAATGAATATATAGACCATCTAAGATCTAAAGATAAAAACTTATATTGAAGAATTTATAAAAGTCATATTTCATTGGAATATTTTACAATAATGTCAACATGTTATGTTGTGTTTGTTTATCTATTTATTTATAAGACTACATATATGGATAGAAATGAAATTGAAAACCCATGTTTGTAAAAATATAAACAACAAAATAAATATATGAATTATTACAATAAAACACTATAAATATAAATATTTATATTTGATTTCAATTTTTTTTAAAATACATATTTTATTTAATAATTATTAAATTGCAATGTAACAATTTAAGATTTCTATGCTTGTAAGTAACTTCAAATAATACAATAAGGATATAAAGACATTCAAAACCACATATTATCAAAATTCTAGAGAATAAGAAAATAAAAGTACTTCAAAATTTTCAAATTATCTAAAGATAACAAAAACTTGCTATTAATTTTACTCATATTGTTGTTATTTCTAAAACATTACAAAATAATTTTATGTATGATCGGCACAAAAATTTAATAGTTCTATGTATAAAGCAATATATTAGCATGACCATATTATAGTAATAGAAGGTTTTGAAGACATAAAATCAACAAAACTCAACAAAAGAGTTGAAAAGATGAAAGATTGTCAAGTTATACATTGATTTTTGAGTGTATTTACAAGATTTGAAAATCATATCTTGAATTTTCAAAGATTTGTTATCTTCAATAGATGTCTATTAACTTCCTTTGATTACCTACGCATCTCATACTAAAAATATTCTATAAGATTTAAATGTGAAGGTTAAATAAATTTTAAAGATTCAAAGAATATCAAATTTCAAATTAATTTAATACGGTTGTAAAAAATAAATTACAAAAAATTATATATCTATTATGATAATTTATAGAATGAAGACATTCTATTGGAATTGTTTAAATTAATTGAAGGCAATATATCAACAAAATTTTGCTAAATTATTCTTAAAATATTTATGCTTTTTATTAAACTTACTAGAAGTTAAACCATTTTGGTGATTCTCAAGGACTAATTAAAAAATAAAAATAAAAATAAATCATTGCTCCTTATTGTGATTAAAAACAAAACAAAACAAAACGGTGCCACGCTAGCCTCTTCAACTGGTTGTAGGTCCACTTGCACTGCTATTGCCACCATCGTCACCAGCCCATCCCATCTCATCTCAATCCATCCCATCCCAACCCACCCCACCTCATCATCACCCAATCCACCCCACCTCATCATCACCCAATCCACCCCATCCCATCCCAATAATTGGATTAAACTTGTATTTGGGTTTTATCACCCTACAGCTCCAGCCAATGGGATTTTTTAACACCATTGCCAAACGTTGGTTGGTTGATTTTTTTTATACATATAGATTTTGTATGAAGTACAAAATCCATTTTTTGAATTTCTATTGTAACTCTAGGGTTTTGAAACTTACATTCAAATTTAGGTGTGGACATCATTTTGAATGAGGAGTAGAAAGATAGTTTTGGACAATGTGTCTCTAATAGGGTATCTTGAGGACTGCAACCCAAAATAAAACTTACTTTTTCAGACTATACCCAATCCATGCAATTTCATAGCATGACACTAAATTATTCCATGCAATTCATATTTAGCATGCACAGAGTTTCGGCAATGTCCACTCAAATGTATCATAGATATAACACCGACCACTGAAGAACAGATAATATTGAATGAGTCTCTTTGGGTGACACCAATGATAAATAATTTAAAATACTTATCCAATAAGAGTTTTAAAATGCCTAAAAAGACTACATTCTATGATGCTTCCATGCAATTTACATTCATAGATCCAATAAGTAAAAACAATTATTAAAAAAAAGTGAAGGTCAAAATAAAGTGAAAATAGCCTCGGCTCTGACAAACAGAAATGAACATAAGAGAACTACAGCAAAGAAAAACCATTTAGCTAAGCCACTTTACATATATATATTCTGAAAGCATTACTAGTATTCCCAATATTTACATGCTTTTAGAGACCACTAGAACTGTTAAATTCTCATCATTCAGTTATAATATCTCAATTATTATAATCTTAGACTTGTGGCCATTCAAATGCCTTACATCCATTAATGTTGTATATATTCATGCACTACCCAAAACAACTACCCTACTCTCATGAAAACCACCTTCCACAACATTATGTGTCTAGAATCCTTGTTGCACATTTGGGTATATGACCACGCAAGAACATTCAAATGCTGAAACTCTACCCGAAATCACTGCTACACATGCTAGTGAACATATTCTACAGGTTAAACCCAGCTAGTCCACCGAATGTCCAATGAAAATTTGATGCCCCTACCGAAAGACAGAACGAGTAACTTGGGCCAAATGCGAAACAAAGCCGAAGCTCTTATAATGTGTGTACTTATCCAAACACTACACCTTCAGAGGCCACACAGCTAAGAATACTATCATTCTTTTCCGTTCTCCGACACAGGAGAAACACTGCGCTCAGAAACCCGACCGTTCTGAAACACGCACCACGATGAAGGTGAGAATGGGTTAAAAAGCCGAGCATTATAAGTTCTGACAATTCGAAACACATTTGCGGATCCGATATGAAAAAGAAAAGAACATGAAAAGGCCTTCCAAAGCCTACATTAAAATGTGCCACATATTCCGAGAAGTATAATCCTAACCTATTAGACAAGCAGACGAGAGTAATACACATACGTCGTACAACAAACTAAAGACTCACCAGATCTCCAGCCTTCGGACTCAAGCTACCATTTTTCTCGGCATCACTAGAGCTCTTTCCATTTGCCTGCACGCGTGGGATGGAACACTAGCGTAAGATAACTATCTCTTTCAGATACCACTCGAACATTAACATAAACACGATTCGGTAGTATTCGTACCACAGCAACTGGAGACTTCGATCGACTCAAGCTAGGACTCCGACTATCTTTCCTTAAAGGAGATCCCTGCGCACAAACATATAACACTCGTCAGATGTGATAACAAACCAGTATGCACAGCAATAGCTTCACGAGAGCTGTGAAAATCCAACTAATTATATTCAACAGCTAAAATCCTGAATGTCTAGCACAGGTGTGGGTCAATTTGTAAGATGGCAAGAGGGACATTTATTTCGATTCAAATTCACCTGTACAGGGGAGGGTGATCTTGACCTGTAAAAAAAAATAACAAGAGGTTATCAGAAACACTAGTGATAACCAAAACAATGGAGCGTTCAATTACAACTGTACGAATCGAACAGTCTGGTTACAACGTAGATGCATCCTTCCACCGTATACAGTACATAATTAACAAGCAGAAACTTACTTGGAGGGTGAGCGAACGGAGCGGGAACGTGAACGTGACCTAGATGCAGGGGTCGCAGACCGTGGTGACCGAGAACGTGACCGAGGAGAGCGGCTGCGGGGAGTCTTACTACGAGAACGGCTGTGAATATTGACACCACATAAAATTAGATCACATTCAGTTAGGGAAAAGCAACAAAGCATTTCGACAGGCACTTGTTTCTAGATCATACTCACCACTGCAACTGATGAAAAATGAATCATTCCGACCAGCCAAACTTACCCAGAATGCAATGAAAATCTAGAATACCACAAAATTTACGCACAAAATACAATACCTGCGACTACGTGGTGAACGGCTTCGAGTGACGCTCCTTCGAGATCCGTAACCTTTATCTTCTTTCACCTGTGGAGAACTGGAGTCAATAGTGCAAAATGAACACCACTACATAGCATGCGGTCTGAGGAAAATCCACCCTCGTGAACACAGTATGTATAAAAAGATAGACCACTCACCCGAATGAAAGAACGAGAAAATGGGTTGCGGAATTCTGAGTCGTCCAACTTCCGAATCTACAAAAAAATAAAAATAAAAATAAAAATAAAAAATAAATACGAGATGCGATAGAACAAACAAATCATCTGAAGACATGCATGTAGGTGACATACATGCAGTCAGCCGAGAAGAGAAATGCCAGTCTAGATACCATACTTACGGCGTATTTCATATCGTCGTAGTTGGTGAAATCCACAATGCCCATTGTTCCAGCTGCAAAAGCAAAAGACCACGAGTCAGCATGTTATAATATCACATAAAGACATTCACAATCATTTTATCCTCGTGTGTTATTTATCACGACACAGGCCCAGGAACATTCAGCTGAAGTTCCCTGATATGCAGAAGAAGAGACGATACAAACTGAATGGGCATACCAGAACCATCACGGAAGACTTGGGCGAAGCACACATCGCCAGCCCTGCGCATGTGATCCTGCGTATAACAAAACAAAACAAAAATTAGAAAATAAAATAAAACTCGGAAGATACAGAACAAAATCTGCCAATCCGGATCAAACCATGTTTCAAAAGCCAGTCGTGAAGATGCTCTCCATAACCCAAGACGATTATAAAAATTGATTCACACTACAAAAACCAATCCATACCTTCAGATCTTGCCATGACGCAGACGAGGGTAATCCGGTCACCATCACTACCACCCAAAAACATAAACGTCAAAAAAGATCCACATAAGATTGCTCTTGCACATATTCTTGAATAAAAATTAGAGGGGTGAGAAGTGTAATACCCCTATACTCTGAGCGCCTAGAGACCCCTCCTGCACGACCGCCGCTTTCAGCCGCACTCCCTCCGCCTCCTCCCCCTCCTCGCCCACCACCACTGCTGTGGCCACTGTAACGATCTACTGCAGGCGGAGGCCCTCGTCCACCGTGGGCAATTTCCACCTGTTTTTTCGGGTGACCGAGGAAACAACAAACAACAGTAACAGACTAGGCAACTTAGTAACAGACTAATTTAAACCACCAGATTAGCACGATACATTGTAAATTTCGGTGAACGAGCTAGAGCAGAGCCCTTGCACCTTGACGAATTTGGTATCCACTCAACTCGTGTGTAATCATGGAGGCAGATAGACCTTACCCGCAACCGATTTCCATCAAAGTTGTATCCGTCGCGCCCACGAATTGCATCTTCAGCGTCTCTGGCATCCTCGAACTACAGGACGCCAACAGCATCGTAAAAAGAATGAATTCCATATAAAATCGAGAACATGAGAATGCTCCTACTTCATTGTCCTGATATGAATATATACGTGACAATTGACTTCTGAAGGACGTTTCCTAAATGAGATCATCAGTAGATAAGGCACATGGCAGAGCCTTCAAATTATGTTCTGGAGGTTCCTTCATGCAGTAAAAGCAACGCAAAACACACTGATCCAAGAGACTGAAAATACCTCAAGAAAACAGTAACCAGGAGGACGAGGAGGTAACTTCAAGTCGATATCCACAATTCGTCCATACTGCGCGCCCGCAGACATACAGAGTCCATAGAAAATTTCAGGCAATAGCACTTGTGACACAATATTGCTGAACATTCACAGCAAGGGAATTACGAAACATCCTCGAACAAAACTGATTCCATTACCTTGTAGAAAATGTCTTCAATTTCTCGCTCCCTCACATCACCGGGAAGGTTTCCGACATAAATCGTTCGGCTGGCACGGCTGCTCATTGTGCTGGTTACAATATCGTCTTTTTAGACTTGAGATACACTGAACTGCAGGAGATGACCACCCAGAACTTGTCAGAAAACACTGTACACTTGCACGATCACCTGTGCTCATATGCAAAAAGTAAGCTACTAACTGACAAAATCAGTGGACTCCTGCCAGACATGAAAACAGAAAGCTATGAGGCCAACCAAGAGTGACATCTTTGGTCCAAGCGAAGCCCCTCAAGCTCGACCGCTCCCTCCTTAGCTCCAGAAAGCTCCACAGCTATGCACGACTTAGACTCGCCACAATCCCACTGTCTCTCACTCTTAAGCGTATGATATAGATTCATCGTAGCCACCCCTCCCCGGAAAGCCATTAATGCATCCAATCTCTTATTCCCTCAGAGCCCCTTCTTCCCTTACTCTTCCCTAGCTTCAACAGCGCTACATGGTTAATTATTTACGTTCCCTCCAGCTCCACGCAATCTAATTCCATCCTTCTCCTTGCTCCACGCAGATTTCTAATTCCAAATAAGCGAAGGATGGCTGTAGGAGGAGCAAGATGTCGTTCTCCCATTGTGCCTTACCTACCACTTCTTTTCCCCGATCAAACGACAGCCACAGCCGATGCAGATCGAGACCTCAACAATTTGCACTGCAGACAGCCACACATACTTATTCTATAGCCAAACCGCTACACATAGCGACAATGCATCGTACACCTCCAAACACTTTGCCACCACAACTGTACCAAGCAGCGTCATATCTCTTCATCCGCAACTAAACTGAGCACATGCGAGACCAGCAATCACAACCGCAACACCAACCAACAACACAACGGACTCCATCATATGCTTCACTATCTCTTTCTCTCCAACCCCGCCATCGTCCGCACAACAACAACAACAACAAAAAAAACGCTAGCAACGCGACAAGTAGGGATTAAGACAGAATGAGAACCAAACTCCCTTGCAATCACACTCTAACCCTTTCACCATAGTATCACCAACCCTAACAAGCCAAGCACAACAACTCACCAGAAATCGGGACATATTTTCGAATTAGCGCAACATAAGTGATAACACGACAGCGACCAAAGCAGCAAACGAAGCTATCCAAAGAAAAACTGGTCGCAGAAATTACCAGTACATGGAACACAAAGACGGAATGCAATCGGTCGCCAGCGACAGCAACACGCTCGAACGCCCTTTCGAATATAGTTAATTCCAGTACAGGGAGCTCACATTGCCCTTGCAAGCAATCAAGCAAACATGCCTGCGGTGAAGAAGGAGGAAGAGGAAGAAGACAGAGAAGCGGGGAAGGAGCTTCCGGAAGACTGATCGGCTCTTTCTCTCATTCGCGCGCTCTCGCTCTCTTGCTGCGTCTCTCTCTGTGCCTCTGTCTCGCTCTCGCTCTCTGAACCGGGTTAGGGTTTCCCAGTCCACCGTCCATGGCCGGAAGACCCGGTTATCTAACGGTTGAAATTCGGGGCGCAGGAACGGTTTCGTTGCTTCGAGGAATGAATGGGTTCCCGGGCGAGGAACCGTGTTCCCCTTGATTCGAGCCCAACGGCGATTCTGGGTGCCATGGGAACTTCTTGGATGGACGTGATGTGTTCATGGGGTTTGTATTGTTCGTTTTGGACGAGGGCGTTCGTCGCTTCATCGTTTGCTGGTGAATGTGGTGAATGAGAAGCCACATTGAAAAAATAATAATTTATATATTTTTGCATTTAAATATATAAAAATAGTGAATGGGTTTCTTAAAAATATTGACAGTATTTTATTTTTAATCACTTTATTAAAATTTATCCATATTTTTTCAACTTTCTTTTATGGTCAATAAAATATTCTAATAACTTCTAATTTTTTTACAGTAAGAGGTTCAAACTGAAGCTGTGTTTATACACAATGTGCGTAAAAGTAGACAAATAATAATAATAATAATGAGTATAAAAATAAATAAAATAAATTTTTATATATCATTATCTCACTTAATCAATTAAGTTGGACTATACATAATTATTCACCAGTTCAAAAAAAATCTATAATTAATCTAAAGTGTATAAATTTTAAGATGATATTATTCAATCATCTAAACATTTAATTTTAAATATTACTACAAGAAAACTAATACAATCAGCTTTTTAGCCATTTTAGAAAATTAGATGACCATTTAGGGAGGGAAGAAAAAAAAAAAAAAAAAAAACTCGGAGATATTAAATGTGTCATTTTAAGACATAATTGCTTAAAACAGCGCTTAAAATATGTTAAAATATATATATATATATATATATTTGATACTACAAACATCATAATGATTGCAAGAAGTACATAATTATATAATAATTTTATTTTATTTCATATTATAATAAAATTATCTTAGAAGAATAATCATTCAGTGATATTAAATAAAATAATTATTGCCTCAAAACCCTGCAATTTTTTCATGTTTTTTGAAAATTCAATAGTAGATTCTAAAAGTTTGATAAAATAAAAAGAAGACTCCAAATTTTATCATGCAAACTTCAATATTTTTATAAATATTCTATGATATACTTGATAGATGCTTTAATAGATGGTTTGAAATAATTGTCCAGTAACCAAAATTTTAAAATAAAATCCATTTTCTTATTATCATATAAAGTGTTTTCATTAATCAATGTAGAACATAAATAAAATAATTTACCAAATTTGAATGCATTATTAATAGGAATACACATATCGTAATATTATATAGTAATTTTAATATAATATAATTTTTTTTAACAGCAAAAATTTAATGCTTAAAACGTGCTAAAACCTTCTTTAATCTATCCATGGCATCTTCCTAAATTTAAAATAATTCGTTATTTTTTAAGAAATCATTTAATATCCATTATTATGTATCAAATTATTTTTCATAAAGCAGTTCTAAATTTAAAAGTCAAAAATGTAATTAAAAAAGGTTTTTTAAATAATGAGTTAGAAAAGTAAGGAACTAAAATAAAATATTATATTTTTTTAAATGTTTCTTTTTAAGATAAGTCAAATAACTCGATGTGTTTCTAATACAAGGTTATATTTATTTCTTTCTGAATTTGTATTTTTTGAAATACTTAAATAACATTCTCTGAGTTTTTAATATATTTTGTAAAGTAGGCTACTCCAAATGATTTCTCAATAATCATTTTGCATGACTTATTGATTAAGTTAATATGGTGAGTTCTTCTAAATATTATTATATTAGAACTTAGAAATGATCCTTATGTTGAATGATTATTATCTGTATCATAGAATAAATAATGTCGTGTTTATGCAACTAAAAATATTTTTTCAAAGCAAAGTAATGTAAATATATATATTTATATATATAAATGTACATTTAATACTCATTAAATTAATTCATTTTAAAATTAGATTTTAATGCAAAAACCAATACATAATTGATTGTATTGGATTTTTTAAAAGTCGTACATGAAAGTCTTACTTTTATGGTTTATGTGATTTAGATTATTGTAACTAATGTATAGTTTTAAGTTTTTATTTTACACAAAAAGTTGTAATAAAAATTTGAATTAAATCATATAATGTAATTTAAAAAAATAAAATAAACATATTGTTCGTAAAATAGTTATCAGATACCACTCTCTTAAGAATAATATATGTATATAATATTTATCATCTTCTACTCATATTTTTTTTATGTTTACATATACAAATAACATATGAAAATAAAAGTAAAAAATATTAAACCGATTTGGTACAAATATGTTTTTAATTAGTTAATAATTACTTACATAATAAAAACTCACTCTATTTTAATAGATCAATTTATGTTTGTATATTTATTATTTTATAGCTATAAATCATAATTTTTAATAATTTGCAAAGTTATAAAGTCAACTATCATCAACATAGAAAACATAAAGTTTTGGAAGTATATATTCTATGTGACTATATTTAATAAACAAATATCTTATCATATATATCAATCATTTTTTAATTTACATATAAATTAAAAGAATTAATTTTAAGATGATTAACTTTAATTTTAAAAATCATAAAATACTGTATTTATATTTTTATATATAGGTTCATGTATATAAAAAAAAAAATTGATAATTTTTTTTCTAAACTGTATCTTTTCTTAAAAAATAAAATCAGTCTCCTTTAAAATCAAATACTATCTTAGATAAAGTTTTGACGTGAGTAGAATTATTATGACAAATAATATCATTATTTTTGAGTTTGTCTATTTCAAATTAATGATAAAATAATAATCTGTTACGAAACTTTTAAAACATTCTATTATTCTGAAACTCCTTAAGTAGATTTAAAGTATTTAAATAAACGTGGTTGTGAAATTTTCATATTTAAAAATAAATAAATAAGTAAATAATGTAATTTTAAAAAATAAATAATGGAATTTTAAAAATAAATAATGTAATCTTTTTAGTATTTTAATTTAGACATACAAGTTATATCTATTTTTACACAGTTAAATGCTTTTGAGGTATTTTTTATTCTTAATACTATTATCAATAAAGTTTCTAGTTTACTAGAGAAGATTCAATTTTAAATAATTGAAATACCAAAAAAACTTAATTATAGAATTCATATAATTTATTTAATACATCAAAAAGGGGGGGGGTATTATATTTCAAAGTAGTTATTATTATCAATAATTATTTGAATATAATCTTGATTCTTTAAAAAAATAATTTCACCATGATAGTAATTGCAAACTTAACATAAGTTACTGTTTGATTTATATATTTATTTAATTATTAATTATTAATTTTTTTGTATTAATTTATAACTCATTAGGTTTTATACCTATAACTTACTATAAAACAATATATAGTAAAATTTTAAAATAAAACTTATATTTTATTTGTAAAATCATTCCCAATTGTCTAAATTACCTCATTTACTTACTCCTTGAAAAATATGAGAAGATTATTGTTAAACTTTAGGACTTAAAATAATCTCCTCTAAGGTATCAATATTATATATATTATTATCATTTCTATTTATAACATTGAATTATAGTTAAACATTGTATTATTATTTATTTAACCTTTTAAAAACACACTATTTTTTAATATTAATTTATAGAATATTCGCCATCATCATTTAGTTAATTTAAATTAAACTATATATATATATATATATATATATATATTTACTCTTCTATTTTCTGAAAAACTAGAAACAATTGTATTATTGATGGGTCTATTTATATTTTATAACTATTATTCCTATCTTGTATATTTGTAAGACATATTCTAAAATTTTATGTGTTTTTATTATTTGATTGTTATAAATTCAAAGTATATATAACAACTTCGGTCTGATTACTGAATTATATTTATAAAATATGAATATTTAAATTTTCAATAAAATATTGTTAAATTAGTGCTTGTCAATAAAATCAAAACAAGATATCAATATATTTTATTTCAATTAGTAACTATTTAATATACACGCACTTGTAAAGTATTCAAAGACATAATTTTCTATGAAGATAATAATAATATATTGAGCTTTAGAAAATAAAACATGTATTTTAAAAAAATATATCAAAGTTTAAATATACCTACTTAATTTGATTTCAACTAATTAAACCATTGATTATTATTCAACACAAGCATAGAATCATATAGAAGCTTTTGTACTCTTATTTTTGGTAATTAAATTATCTATAGTAAAATTCTAAAATACAATTCTATGAAGTTAATTTAAACGTATTTGATTAAAATTATAAATAATTAATAATTAAATTTGAGTTAAAAATATTATATTATAAATTTATATATATATATATATATATATATATTTGCATACATACAAACATATACATTAAATTCTTAAATTAATTTTTTTATCATATGCAATAGTAGTACAATCTTTTATGTAATCTTTCATTCTATTTTGTAAACATATAAAAATATTTAGACACTTCTTAATTTTATTTTGTAATCTTTAGAGCTTAATTATATATTTTTATAAGTTATTTTATCTAAAAACACATTAATATCTTAGTAGTGTTAATTTTTAAAATTTTGGTATAAATTTTATGGCCAACATTTGTAACGAAAAATCAAAAATAATATTTTTTTCTATTTATGTTTATATATATATATATATATATATATATATATATATATATATAAATATATAAAATATATTTAAATTGGTCTTAATATAGAATTAATATACCATTTATTAAAAGATCAATGCAATATTATTGAATTATAGAAAACGTATTATAATATTTTAGTTAGCCACACAATATATGAAAATCTTTCTCTGTGTATGTCTTCTTTTTGAAAATATAAAATTTTAAATTTTATTTATTATAATTAATTTAATTATTATATTTTTCTACCACAAATATTTTAAAATTTATATTTTAAAAAAA